TAATAGATATTTTTCAGTACTTAAAAAATTAAAACAAAATATATTTGTCTACAAGAGAATTATATAAAGAAAAATATAAAATATTTGATTTATAAAAATTTGGATGAAAAATTTCTCTCAGCAGGAATAAAAAAAAAGAAATGGAGTTGTTCTATACATATTAATCCTCAACTAAAACCAGAAAGCCTATTGATTACTGAACATGATAGATTTATTGAGACAGAATGTTTACTTACATGGGGCTAAGACTATAGTATTGAGAATTCATGTCCCTACTTTTATAACTTTTGTAACTCAAGAAGAGATTAAAATTGGGTACTGGAATGGAATGGGTTTTTTCCAACAACTATATACAACATTAGAAAATTTCTTACTCAAGATAAATTACCAAAACTTTTTTTTTAGTTTGATGGACAATGTAAGCTTACTGGATGCGTGGAAACAGAAAAATGGTAATTCTAGAGAATATATACATGCTTTTCAAAAAGATAAGGAGCCTTTACAAGAATAGAGTGTGATTTGGATCTCAAAGAACTTCACTGCTGAAATTTGAAAGTTTGGTTCATAAAAACAAATCACCTTCTTTTAGAGCAGTGGTTCTCAACCTTTTTAATGCCGTGACCACCAACTGGTCGTAAGTCGAGGACTAGTCAACCAGTCGTAAGTTGAGGACTACTCAACTGGTGCAGCACCGTTTGCAGAATGGGACTTTTGGCGGGCTCAGCAGGGCAGAGACAGGCTGGCTCAGGAATTCTGGGAGTTGAAGTCCACAAGTCATAAAAGAGCCAAGGTTGCCTGCCCCTGGTTTAGATGCAGAGAAACCCTTTGAAAATTTGAAATGAATTTTTCTATTTGCAATTTGGAAGATATGAATTCTGGGAAGAATGTTATAAAACGGCTATAATCGATTTATAGCTCACAGAAAGAACAAATTATTGTTAATGGAGATTTAACAAAACCATGTGAAAAAGGAACACGACAGAGCTGTCTTCTTTTTGTGTTCTTGACATTTTGAATAGAGATGTAAGATGGGATGAAGGAATAAAAATTTAAAAAGAGACTTATAGGTTTAGAGCTATGGCAGATGACCGTGCTGTTTTTGGAAGATCCTTTAAAAGGTATTAGTGGGAAAAATAAAAGAATTTGGTGCATTAGCAGGTTTCAAGATTAACAAAGACATTAACACAAATAAAAGGTAGACCAGAGGAATGCTGTGGACATAATTTACTTGACTTCAGTAAGGCATTTGATAAAGTAGACACAACCTACTACTTGATAAGATAGAAAAATGTGGATTATTTAGACAACATCACCACCAGATGGATTCGTAGCTGGCTGACCAGCTGTACTCAGCATGTGGTCATCAATGGAACGGCATCTATATGGAGGGAAATGTGGAGTGGGGTGCCCCAGAGCTCTGTTCTGGGCCCAGTGCTCTTCAACATCTTCATCAATGAACTCATTAAATTTGCACACGACATCAAGCTGGCAGGAATAGCCAACACTCCAGAAGACAGGCTTAAGATACAGAAGGATCTGGACAGACTTGAACACTGGGCACTATCTACCAAAATGAAATTCAATCGTGAAAAAAGGTTCTACATTTAAGCAAGAAAAACCAAATGCACAGATATAGTATAAGTGGCATCTTGCTAGATAGTAGTAACTGTGAGAGGGATCTCGGAGTCCTAATGGACAATCACTTAAACATGAGCCAGAGTATGCTGCAGCTGCCAAAAAAGCCAACACAGTGCTAGGCTGCATTAACAGAGGGATAGATTCAAGATTACGTGAAATGTTAATACAACTTTATAATGTCTTGGTAAAGCCACACTTGGAATACTGCATCCAGTTTTGGTCACCACAGTGTAAAAAAGATGTTGAGACTCCAGACAGAGTAAAGAGAAGAGCAACAAAGATTATTAGGGGACTGGAGATTAAAACATATAAACGGTTGTTGGAATTGGGTATGTATGGTTAAGTGAAGAGAATGACTAGGGGTGACACGATAGCAATGTTCCAATATTTCATGAGTTACCACAAAGAAGAGGGAGTCAGGTTATTCTCCAAAGCACCTGAATGCAAGTCAAGAAGCAATGGATGGAAACTAATCAAAGAGAGAAGCAACCTAGAACTAAGGAGAAATTTCCTGACAGTTAGAACAATTAATCAGCAGAACAACCTACCTTTAGAAATTGTGAATGTTCCAACACTGGAAGTTTTTTAAAAGAGACTGGACAGCCATTTGTCTGAAATGGTATAGGGTTTCCTGCCTGAGCAGGGGGTTAGTCTAGAAGGCCTTCAAGGTCTCTTCCAACTCGATGATGATGATGATGATGATGATGTAAAAAAATGATGAATAAAATGGGTTTTAAGATTGAAAGTAGATATATGGGTATTAGTATAATAAATAAGAATTGAATATAAGGTTTTACAAGATATAAAAAAAGAGGGCTTGGGATTACCCTATTTAAATTGTATTTTGCAGCTTGCTATTTAGTTGGATGAAAGAATGGATGTTGGTAGAAAAGCTTTGGAGCTAAAAACACATGGTTTGAAACTTGGGTGGTTTGTATATTTATACTAGGATAAAGCCAATATTTTATTGAATATTGTAAAAATCATTTTTTTAGATGTACCACTGTAGAAGAATAGAGAAAACTGCATGTATCTGTGTTGCCTTTCTTTCCTATTTGAGCCCCCTCTGAAACAGATGGAGAAGGAGAAGAGAGAACAAAGGAAACAGCAGTGGCTACTGCCAGAAAACCTGCTCAATAAAAAAAACATTTTTTTTTCACAGAGGCAGAAATGATGGAGGAAAAAGAAGAGGCGCAGCCAAGCCAAGCTTAATATTGGGAAAGTGCTAGTGCTTTACCTGCTGCCTATTAATAAAGAAGAACATAATAATAAAAGAAATCCGGGGAAGGAGAGGATTAAAAGACAGTATGTGTAACAATACACTGTTGAACATGACTGAATGGATAACATCATCATCATACTAATAATAGTACAGCATCAATAGTAATGTTAGTAGAAGTATTATATAGCAGATAATAGTAGTAAAATATTGTATACAGAAATGTTTAGAGAACACTATATACTACAAATAGTAACAGAAACAAAGGGAGGTATAGGACAATTCACATAGAAACTTGCATGTTTCTATGTTTTACTTTTATATCTTGGGTATTCTTTTTCCAAAATAAAGCCAACTCTTACAGAGAGATATAAAAACCCAACTGCCTAGGATCCAATGCTTTTAATGGATTTTTGGAACTTAAGTTATCATATTTTATTTATTTATCGATATATTTTTCATATTTCTGAACTGCCCATCTCACTCAAAGAGGGACTCTGGGTACAGTGTACAATAAATTGGGTATAGTTTAAAAAAACACATTACAGCCATATTGAGAATATGGAAGAGATATAAACTAGATTATACTTGAAAATATCTTTGTGGATCTCAGCGTAAGAATCACTTTGTAGAAAAGAAATGATAAGTAAGCTCAAATGGCTAACTAATGTGATATATGATTTTTTCTCAATGAAAATATAAAAAATCAGGAACAGATTTGGTGATAAGAGGATATACTTGTCAATGGTTTTTTTATATACCATTCTAAGATTTAATAACTTCTGGGTCTGAGCACTGTAAGATTGATTTTGAAACAGTATTGTGTACAATTGAGAAACATATTATTGCTAAGGTGTATATATTTCTGCTGAAATTTGAAACAGAAGAGCAAGTAAAAGAATGTATGATAAAATGAGTTACAATCTTTGCTTATAAGATACAAAGAAAACAGTGGGAGAATATGATTGAAAAGATTGAAGTTTACATTATGTTAAAATGTTAAGAGATTTGTTAATTAAATAATGTTATCAATGGTATATGTCAGCAGAATTGTCTATAATGTGTAAAGCACTTCAAACTTATGTTAGGAATGTAAACGAGGGGACATTTCATAATGCTTCACTGATGTGCAAAAAGCAATGTTTGTGATTCAATTACATATACAAATTCAGAAGATTTTAAAGATTAATATACAACTGAAACCAGAGGTTTTCATTTGGGGCTCACTGATAGGCAGAAAAAAAATAACTGAATTTTGTTTTTATATGATAACAACAGTGAGACTATTATATGCTCAAAAACAAACATTACTCATAATGGAAGAATGGATGGTGACGATGATAGAAACTTGATGAGATGGCCAAATTGGCAGCTTTGATCAGAGAAAAACATTATCTATGTTTTAATGTTGACTAGAAGCCATGTATAGACTTTCTATGTGAAACAGAAAAAGTGAATTTATATGTTTTTGATTACATTATCGAAAAAATGTAAATCATGTGGTAAACCATAGAGTAAGATAAATATACTTATAAATGCTGTAAAGAAAATAAGAATCTACTTCTTTATATTTTCTTTCCTGCACTTTTGGCATTGTCTTTTCCTTTCTTTTTTTCTAAATATTAGTTTGTGTTAGTTTTATCTTTTTTTAAAAAAAGAACTGATATAAAAAAAGAACAGTGAGAAGTTTAACAGTACATTTATTTAGAGATCCTTTTCTTTCTCTTTTTTCTTGGCTTTAATTTCCTTTATCGATTATTACTCATTTGTTTTCTTTGCATTACACGGCATATCCCAAATGGGAACAGCAGGTTGCTATGTTCACACATACACTTATTACTGTGCCATTTCTAAATACTATTTTGAATAGCATGACCTGCTCAGATTGCATAGACTGATAAATGGTAGAACACAATGGAAATTTTGTCAATATTCCAGATTAGAAACAACAGCATCAGGGAGTTCTAGGAATATCTCAGAAGTTAATTTAAATATTAATGTCTGCAAAAAGAAATGTCAGAATGATCCTGTGACTTTCTTAATTTACTGTTTATATCACTTATAATACTAAATTGTAATCTGATCTGGAGAACATCTTATAAACATAAAATAAAATAACTGCACATGCCACGCTGGATCCAACCTTCAACGTTTCTAAGCGCTCAGAAAGAGGCAGATCATTCACTTCCACAATGAATTCTTCTAGAGCCTTGGGCAATTTATGCTGCAATTCATTCCTCTGGAGAATTAAGCTTTGTACTTCATCCTGTGTAGAAGAGAACACACAACTGAGGTCTTCTTCAGTAGAGATACAGGTACTCATCAACTTACAACCACAATTGGAAACAACATTTCTGTTGCTAAGAAGAGGAGTTGTTGCCAAGTTTATGACCTTTCCTGCCACAATTGTTAAATAAACCACTGCAGTTGTTAAGTGAATCATGCAGTCACTAACCAAACCTGGCTTCTCCCATTGACTTTGCTTATTAGAACCCATCTGGAAAGATCACAAATGGCAATCACATGATCCAAAAACAATGCAACCCCATCATAAATACATGCCATTTACCAAGAATCCAAATTTTGATCCTGTAACTTAGGGGATGCTGTGATAGATGTAAGTATGAGGACTGTCGCTATATTCAGTGCTGTTGTAACTTTGAACAATCACTAAATCATGAATGGTTCTAAGTCAAGGACCTTCTATATAGGATAACGCTATAGGGCAACCTCAAATTAAGGCAGTTAGTAGTCGATCATATGTCAAAATGAACTTAAGCACAAGAAGTGTCTACAGTGCATCCTGATTTACCTTCAGGTTTTTCTACAATCTAATACAGCAATGACATTACAATGTTGTATCATGTACACATTTATAATACAAGCCAGTACAGATCAATCTGCAGATGAAAGCAAAAGCAGCCAAATTCTCAATGCTTGCAGTTAGACAAGTGAGCAACAAGAGAAAGAACATCTCTTCGGGAATTCTCAAAGTTTTACTGTTGTTTACAGCAGTTCTCAAGCAGTATGTCCTTTTTCTTTATTTGCTGACATATGATAACCAATGAAGAAAGTATATACATTAATTTCTTTACCTACCTTTTATTTATTTTAAAATAAATTATTATTATTATTATTTTAAAAAGCTGTATTTGTTAAAGTTATGTCAAATATTTCACCATCAATTACTGGGCTCTTCCCAAGCTATTTTATAGGACCTTTTAAGACCAAAATCTTATGTCTGTTTCTACATGAATTTACGTAGCTTTTCAATCCAGATGCTGAGTCCTTTGGGGGAGGAGGGGAGACAGAGATAAAGAGAATACCCAGGGAAAGTGAATTTACTCTCTCTCTCTTGCAAACATTTACAATTTAGTAATAGAATAATTTGTAAGTAATGGGCATGCAATAAGCATAACAATCATATAAAGTTAACAAGATCAATAATATGAATGATAAAAAAGATACAGAAGCCTTAAATTTAATTTTCACTCAAAATTTCCTGTCACTGGCCCTACCCAATATAATAATCTTCCTGGATGTAATTATTAGAAATTGAGTTTAATTTACTAGTAGCTATATCTGGGAAGATTATTCTCGTGGGTAGGACTAGCAACAGGAAATTTTTCATTTGACTAGCAAGCTGTAAATTTTTTAAGAAGTTCATTCTCTTTCTCTCGCTCATTCATACACACATACACACGTTATTGCAGTCTAACAAATTCTCAAATATTCAACTATCCCGTTGCTGATCAGTAGAGGGAAGAGAAAAGCTGCAAGAATTTGCTGGTAATTACTTGCAAGTTTCTTTCTCCTCTTCACAAAATCTATAACCTGTGATAGTTCTAACGTGGTCTAATGGTTAAGGCCTAGAAACCAGAGGACTTATGAATTCTAGTCCTGCCTTAGGCTTGAAAGCCAGCTGGGTAACTTTGAGCCAATCACACTCTCCCAGGCAACTCACCTCACAGGACTGTTGTGTAAAAATAGGAATATTATAGATGTTCCCCATCTTGAGTTACTTATAAAGTAATAAAGTAGGATAAAAATCAAATCAATTAATTAATATGGATACATCATATATTAGCAAAATATGGTCACATTTTAAATCCTTGACAATTCTTTTGCTAACAAGCATAAGCAGCTACAGTATATCAACAAAATTTAAGAGAGATCATTGAAGCTTATGATTTGCCATAAAATAATATATCACCTACCACATGTTTACAAAGACGTATTTCTTGCTGGGAGATGTTATAATCTGTCCATATCTTTTCCAGCTTTTCCATGGACTGAAGGGCCAGAATTTTCTCTTTGGTAACTATATTTGCAGCTTCTAAAAGATCTTCTCCAAAATGAGCACTTGCATGATTTTGCCTGAATAATATTTAAAAATGAACATTTATAATACTACATAATTAAGATCCATTATATAATTAAGGTTCATTGCTATGTATCTCTTACAGCTATTTTTACTCAATAAAATATGTCCTTGATATCCCAAGTATAACTGATTCTATCTGACATACAATAAAAGAATACATAAGAGGAACAACAGATTAAACCTTTCATGTAGGAATATTATCATCAGGCACATAATGAAATAATATGCTTAAGTAACTGTATTCAAAGATAAATCAATACTATTTATCAGGAAAGCATAAACTGTAGCCCAGACCATGTTCAGTCTTTGAACCCTCTTGTTCCCTTTCCTCCTTCCTGCACCTTCCCATCAGGTTGCCTGTTGCCATATTCCCCTTCATTTCCTTTCCCTCACCCCAACCTCCTACCCTCCTTCCTATTTTTTTACCAACTGCCAAGCTGCTAACTTCTATTCTGTTTCTTATACCTCCCTACTTGCATCTTTTATTCCAACTCTTCCTTTTGCCTTGCTGTCTTGCTTTCTTTCCAGCTACTTTCTGTTCCTCCTGACACACTATCCTTTTCTTCACATCTGCTCAAATTTTTCACTATGCCAAATAACAAAGGGTATTGAGGGAAGTGGGGGGGAGTCAAAGAAATCAAGATGGCAGCCAAAACAGAGACCTTTCTACATTTGTTGAAGTTGGTACTATGATCCACCTTTATATAATCAAAACCATTGGCTTAAATACTATATATAGTTATATTTTTATTTATGTTAAGTAAATCATGCTATTTGACTTTGTGTGAAAAACCAAGTTTTTCTGCAAAGAGATTAGAAAACCCTTTTATGGAACTACTATGTCCAAGACACTTTAAACAACTTCCCATTCAGTGAATTTATCTTTAAAAAATCAAGGTTTAAATGTTCACTGTTCTTTGAGACAATCTGTTCTTGAACTGTCAAATTTTGCACATTCCTACTAAGGCCTCTAGCCATTACTGAAAAGTAAGCTACCATTCTACTCAATTAACTGGGCCCAAAACATATTGTCCTCAACTTATGACTGTAATGGAGCCTGAAATTTCTGTCATATGTTATGGTGGTCATAACATGAAGCACTCATTTGACCAACTAAGTTTTATAACCTTTTTTGCAATTATTAAGAGAATGCAGCTGTTGTAAAGCAAAAGCTGCTATTGTTAAGTAAACTCATTGTCTGCAATGAGTATTTTTGCAAGAAACTAGAAGTAAGTTTTTGTTGACTGCAATATCTCAAATTATTTCTCTCAATAATCCCCAACTTAGTTTGCTATGCCTATTTCATAAACTATGTTTAAACAAATCATAGGTATCTTAAGAGTAAACCAATGTTTGAAAAACAAATCCAGGATTATTATCACTTACATCAGCTATAAATTATCCTTTACAGATATAGTCTGGAAACATGCATACCTTGTTTCTTTCAATGTTTCAAACCTGGTAGCCAATTTTCTCACTGTAGTTCCTACATAAGTGAGCAGCCTATTTTCCATACAATCAAGGCTTTCCTTGTAAGCTTTCTTCTCGTTCTGCATTGATACCAATGAAAGCATTAGCCCTACTTCTTTCAGGCTATCAATCTTTCACTGAAGAACTGCACAGGACTAAGTAGATCTTTCATACAGGCACACAGATTTTTGCTTTAGGCAATTAAAATCACAAAGGAAAACAGTGTTGGCATAAATATTTTAACTGGAAATAGTAGGATGAACCAATATAACAAGAGAGTAAGCAGCTTTTCAGCAGTCAAGGGCCACATTTATTATTACTAAGGAAGGCAAAGGTAAGCATGATAAAGCAAATTGAAAGAAGCTATGTTACACATTTGGACAAGCAGGCAAGGCAACATTTTCCTAACATGGAAGATGAGTTTCAGAGTTTGAGTTTAAGACTACGATAAGCTTTGTGATTTTTACCAATCATGGCCAGAAGGGCTTGGTTAGCAAAAGTGATTGTGGACTAGCTATCCTTGAGCTAAAGAGTACCAGGTTAACAAATGCTACTCTAAAGAATTGCTCATTTTAGCTGGATCTCTATTGTCTCAGGCACCTTCATCATTAATTACATTTGGTCAGGCCCACAGAATCCACTGACAGAAGTTAAACATATTAAAGAAAAAACATCAAGGTCAGTATTTCTGAATCTGGGCCACTTTAAGAGCGTTGGATGTGAATTTCTGAAGTCCCTATTTCTTAACCTGATTGTGATTGTGGCTGATTGTGATCAAGGCTGAGAAAAACTGACTTAGATCATCAAGCATCCACCTTCATTTTCCACTAAGGAGAAAGGAAGCATGTTTTCTACATCATTTCATTATTATAAGACTGACAATTACATAATTATGGATATAACAACATTCTATTTATCCTACCTCCAAATCACACGTCAGTTTATGTATTGTTGATTCCTGTATTTCACATTGATGGGAAAGAATTTGGTTTTCTTTTTGGAAAGTCACCATTTCTTCTTTTAGTTTCTCAGTCTCCTCAATCAACTTCTGATCCTCTCTGATCTTTTCCAAGCTAATATCTGATATCCTTCTAAAAATCACAAATTACCATTCTATTATTCTTGGAACACACAAGGAAGATTTATCAAAGGAATTTTAGAGGTGTTTTAAGGAATTGTGTCCAAAGTCTATCAAGTACATCTTAATAGCTAATTAATTTATCTTCGATGTAACAAACCTGAGTAAAACAAAAGCAACTTTTATGGCTCTGCTTCCTAAGAAAGTAACAATATCTTTTTCCAGTATATTCCACTCCACTGCTAAGCTAGCACAAAAGCTTATTATGTGCATTATTCCCAATGGGTTCAAAAAGTTCACATCACACATTAACACTTGGATGGTAATTAAGCTTCAAGTTCAATTCCTAGAAATCTGTGGCACATCCCTGTTTTATTGACAATAATATGAAGATATAAGATGATGGACTATAAACTTTTACTTGATAAACAACTTCTACTATAAATACCACCTATAACACATGAAATAGATGTCCCATACCCAGCTACAAAAGACAAAAACTATATTTATCATTTGATTCTAAAGTCTGCAACTTAACAACCTAGCAAAAGACAAAAACTATGTTTATCATTTGATTCTAAAGTCTGCAACTTAACATACTATTAAGAGAATATGGATGAAGACCAGGAAAAAATCCTTTCCATGTTGAAATCAATATGTGAAACCATCCTTTCAGCTTGTGATGAAATAAGCAACATAAAAGAACAAGATGCCAGCTTAAATATACAAACCCAGATCTTGACTACAACCAAAGAACTAACAATGCAGGAAATGACAGAAAAATTGGAACAATTAAACACCAAGAGACAGAGGACACAGTTGATCAACAGACGCAGCCAACGGAAAAAACAGAAAAGGGAGTGACAACATTGAAACTGGAAAAGACTTTTTACAAAAATCAGAAGAAATTTGAGGAAAAGGAAGAAGAACAGACTGAATGGAAGATAAATCTATCAGGACATTTGTGGGAAATTGGAGTAACACAGAGGTGATTTAATGCAGGCCTTTTCAACCAATGGTACGGGTATCACCTATGGTACATTGGCACCTGGCAGGTGGTACACAACCATCCTAGAAAAGTGGTAGAGGGGAAAGGGAATGAGCTGAACCGGTGGCAGCACCGCACAAGCCTCAGTGACAGATGGCTGCAGCTGCCTGGCTGTCAGGGCCCAGTGGAAGCGCCAGGATCAGTGCCAGTCTCCAGCTGGAGCTCGACCCTGATCCTGGCACTTCTACTGAGCCCTGAAAAAGCACCAATCAGCTGGAAAGTAGCACTGATCCTGGCACTTCTGCTGAGCCCAGAAGAAGCGCCGATCAGCTGGAATGTTGCAGCATCTCCAGAGTCTTGTGATTTACATTCAAATGCTTGGCAACTGATTCACTTTTTTTTGGTCATAAAGTTTTTCACACCTTGCTGGTGGTACTCGGATGTTGCCATATCCTAAAAGTGGTACAATGGGTGAAAAGGTTGAAAAGCCCTGATTTAATGAATACAAATGGGTTCGTTCTTCCAAAAAAAACTTCAATCAAATGGTCTTTCTTATTCCAAATAATATATATAATAATAGAGGGAGAACTATTTGATGATTCAAAGGCACTGACATGGAATGTTAGCTGGCAAAGGAAGAAAGCCAGAGTAAGGCTGAAGAAAATAATGGCTTTGATTTATTAGAGGGGATATTATATTACTAATTAGAGGGTTGAATATGGTGAAAAATAGACAACTTTTAGAAAATAAAGTAACATTATAATTGAATGGCTAAGATGTGTAACGAGACTATTAGTCTTTGGTATGAAAAGGGGGAAAGGGAGAAGTTGAGATAAGAGAAATTTTGATCACCTAACAGAAAATATTTGGAAATCATAAATAACAGTGTGTTTTTGTTTGTGTTTTTCTTTGAATATTGATGGGAAATTAAAGTTTATGTATAGGCTAAAAATATTGACAAATGTAACAAGAATGTTTTTACTTAGTTGAAAATAAGAATTTTGTTTGCCCAATATGAGATACTTATGTATATTACTGAATTATTGGTTAACCCAGATAATACTTATAATGGTTTTGACTTATTAGAGGGGATACGGTATTATTAATTAGATGGTTTAACATGGGAGAAAATAGATAACTTTTAGAAAACAGAACAAGACTATAATCAAATAGATAAGATGTATATTTAGAATATTAGACTTTGTTATGAAAAAGGGGAAAGGAGGAAGTTGAGATAAGGGAAACTTTGGTCACCTAAATATAAAACACTTGTAAATCATAAATAACAAATGTTAATTTGAATATTGATGGGAAATTAAAGCTTGGGAGGAGGAAAGCAATAACAGGACATTGATTGTATATAAGGATCAAATGCGAACGCAATTAAGATATGTATAAGCTAAACACTATTGATAATTGTAACAAAGATATTTTTATTAGTTATAAGAACTGTATTACTTAATATGAGATAGTAGATATTAAGGAAAAAAGAGAGGAAATACCTGATGTTGTAACATGAGGTTTATACTAAAGATTTATATATGCTATTGAACTATTGATTTACCCAATTATCATGTTGCTTTTTAAAATACTCAATTGTAAAATGAGAAAAAAAATAAAAATAAATAAATAATAGAAACCAAAAAATATTCTTTTATGTCTATTGGAGAAAAAATTGGAACTTTATTACAATTATTTTAATTAGGGAAAATGTTAACTAGTTTTGTTTTCATTTGGAAACCACTTTTTGGAGTTTCTGCTCAAAAGAGATAACAATGAAGTTTTAATTTTGGATTTTGATGGTTAAATAGATAGTTGTTATAGAAATGGCTAGCACTATCTTTATATAAGTAAAAAGCTGAGATTAATTTTATCTAACTTACTGCACCAAAAAAAGTTGGAAGGCATAGATTTGACCCCCTTCCTCATTCTATTCCCCTTTACCTTTCCCCTTACCTCTTTCCTATTGTCTTTATTTTTATTTATATTTTATATCAATAAAACAATAATAAAAATTATTATTTAAAAATTGTTTAGCTTTTCTCATTTTCTTCTAAAGAGAAATTCAGGTTAAATTAACCAAAGCCGGACTACCCTTGGTCTTTCAGCATTCTGCTGGAGAATATGCTCCAAAATGCCGGAGGGACCAAGACAGCAACCTTTAATGAAATGAGGATCAAACTTAAAATTCAGATAAATTACCCATTTATGTTAATGTAATTAAAATATGAATAATAGTTTTTCCATTATAGCAAGTAAAAAATTAAAAACTGGATGCAGTATATTGTACCCATGGGCTCAGGTTGCATACCGTTATTCTAAGAAATCATTATGTACCCTTGCCCTTCACTGTTATCAAACTATTATCACAGAAAACCCTTTCCCACTATAACTTACTGAATCGAAGAAGAATGATCTATAGAATTTTCATTTTTTTCACTCAGAAACATATCACCATGACTTCCTGTCATTCTACTGCTTGCTACAGAGTTCATTGCCCATCTTGGAGTTGATATTTTGGCATTCTTATGCACAAAGAAATCCACTTTTGTCTCAAAGAATTTATTTTTTATGGAAGATTTGCGAAGTTCAGCAAAGCCTTTCTTAGCCATTTCTTCTCCAACATCCAGTAAACCACATTCTGCCTGGGCAATAATGGTGCCATCCCGATGCATGGCTTTATGTGTTATCTTTATCTCTTTTTCAAATATCAAACTATTCAGAAATATCCTCCCCTGCAAAATAAAATTTAGGAAGTATTACAGAGGAAGTTGAAATATGGTCTTACAATTAAAGAATCTCAGAACTGATGAAGTGCACTGATGTATATTCTCCCTCTCTGTTTGTGTGTGTGTGCGCGCACGCACACATATACACACAAAGGCTCTGTGATCCTACACAGGCTTTGCCAATTGGCTCTTATCAAAAGTTACATTATTTTGTCAAAAACAAATTAAACAAATATACAAATTGCTTCCAGTACTTGCATCACCTTGATATCTATCATTCAGAGCCACTCAATCTAATTTAGTACTATATACATTTAATCAAAACCTAGAAAGTATATCCACTTTTCTGCAAAATATTGCTTTTTACAGTTCTCGTCATTAAACATAAAACAGAAATTGAATGCCTTTAGCTGGGTGATTAATCTAAATATTTAAGGTATCTCCTTGCCTGTTCATCTTTGAGCCTTTAACTGGTAATTCTTCTATGGGTAAAAAGGTGTATAAAATGGAGTAATCATGACTTCTGATCAGAACAAAACATATCTGTTTGTTACTGATTGTGCCTTCTTTTTGTTTTTCTATCCCTTTCATCTGAGCATTTATTCTCAGTTTCTTATAATATGAGGATCTTTGAGGATACTGACTGTTGCAATCAAGGGCAATGCTCCATTTATGATGTCCTGGCCAGCAATTCAAAACTATCTATAAGTGAAACCCACTTTTATATAACCCTTGGGGAAATAAGAATGACCCAGACTGCTTTTCACCATTTTGCCTCTGTATAAATGAAATTAAAATGGGAAAGGTTCAGGAAGAAAACAAAAGCTCATTTCCTTGTTCAGTGTCTCTTCATGAAGTCAATAAGATGCTACAGAAGGCATGTTTGTGTCATATTAAACTAGTTTTTTCACAATCAGTAAAATAGAGATGAAGAATAAATAGTTCACAAAGAAAATAACAAGAATGCTACCAAGAGAAGAATGTTGTTACTTTTCTTTGCAATTTTATGTATAAGTATTTTTCTATACACCCTTGCCACAATTACCATAGAGCTTACATTTGAAATTCACACACACAAACATAATCACATGAAACATCTGGCTTACCCGATCAAATTGATTTAAATCTATATTAGCTGATAACTGTAATCCCCACAATTTATACTTTTTTGCCACACCAGGAAACTGCAAGTTTTCTGTGATCCCAACTATTTCTGATCTTCTGAGGACCTCAGAGTTCCCATAGTCAATGTATAATACCTGGCACTGTAACAGCAAAATAACAATGATAAAAATAAAATCTGTCTTTTGAAGTAGTAAGGTAGTGAAGCCTTTCTGATTTTCTTCATAGGGATATTATGTAAAAATCAGGGAGCTTAGCATTATAAACAACACGATGTATTAGGAATCAATTTTCAATGGGCAAATAATCTGGATAAAGAAATATCACTTTAATTTATAATAAAAGTAAACATGCACCTAAATGGAAATAAAATCTAATTACTGAATATGTATTTACAGAAAAAAACAACCAATAGAACAGTGGTTCTCAACCTTCCTAATGCCACGACCCTTTAACACAGTTCCTCATGTTGTGGTGACCCCCCCACCATAAAATTATTTTTGTTGCTACTTCATAACTGTAATTTTGCTACTGTTATGTAAATGTAAATATTTGATATGCAGGGTGTATTTTCATTGTTATGAACTGAGCATAATTAAAGCATAATGATTAGTCACAAAAACAATATAGCAATGCTCGCTGGAGAAGCTTACTCTTCCTTGCTCAAAAATTTGGGAGGGAGGGAAGGGGAAGGAAGGAAGATTGAAGGGGAAAGGAAGGAGATGGAAAAGGAAGGAGATTGAAGGGGAAAGGAAGGAAGGAAGAAGAAAGAGATTGAAGGGGAAAGGATGGAGATGGAAGGAAGGAAGATTGAAGAGGAAAGGAAGGAGATGGAGAAGGAAGGAGATTGAAGGGGAAAGGAAGGAAGGAAGGAAGGAAGGAAGGAAGGAAGGAAGGAAGGAAGGAAGGAAGGAAGGAAGGAGAAAGAGATTGAAGGAAGGGATGGAGATGGAGATGGAAGGAAGAAAGGAAGATTGAAGGGGAAGATGGAATGGAAGGAAGGAAGGGGAAAGGAAGGAGATGGAGAAGGAAGGAGATTGAAGGGGGAAGAAAAGGAAGAAGGAAGGAGATTGAAGGAAGAAGGAAGGAGAGATTGAAGGGAAGGAAGGAAGGAAGAAAGATTGAAGGGGAAAGGAAGAGATGGAGAAGGAAGGAGATTGAAGGGGGAAGGAAGGAAGGAAGGAAGGAAGGAAGGAAGGAAGGAAGGAAGGAAGGAAGGAAGGAAGGAAGGAGGAGAAGATTGAAGGGGAAGGGAAGGAGATGGATGGATGGAAAGGAAGGAAGGAAGGAAGGAAGGAAGGAAGGAAGGAAGGAAGGAAGGAAGGAAGGAAGGAAGGAAAGAAGGTTGAAGGGGAAAGAAAGGAGATAGAGAAGGAAGGAGATTGAAGAAGGAAGGAAGGAAGGAAGGAAGGAAGGAAGGAAGGAAGGAAGGAAGGAAGGAAGGAAGGAAGGAAGGAAGGAAGGAGAGATTGAAGGGGAAGGGAAGGAGATGGATGGATGGATGGATGGATGGAAGGAAGGAAGGAAGGAAGGAAGGAAGGAAGGAAGGAAGGAAGGAAGGAAGGAAGGAAGGAAAAGGTGCTTTATAATGCTCGACGGGGAAAGATATTTTAATCCCCGGTGGCTGATTGAGGAAGCCAGGTCCGTCGGACCAATTTCCAAATAAGCCTGATTGGGGAGGTGGGAGTTTAAATGATGTATCAAAGGACGCTTCCCGTTGCCCCTTCCCCTCCCTTTTTGGCTACCACTGGGGAAAACGCAAATGCGCGCGCACAGGGGTAAGAAAGCACAAGCGCCCGGATTAAAACTGGTGCCAACGTTTCCAAACAAAACGCTCCGAGCCGCGAAGCCTTATCCAAAGCGGTGTCCGCTCGAAGGATTTCTCTTCCCTTCCAGCCGGGTTTTATTTTTGGTCCCCCATATCTGAGCAGAGCTGCCGCCGGCCTGCCCCCGTAGCCAAGGGTCCCAGAGCAGCACCTTTCCAAACCCTGGCGCTGCTTGTGGCAGCGATCGGGGTGGGGGACAGAAATCCTTTCTTACAGCTCCAAAATGAGTTTTCTCCTTTGATTTCGGGGCCCCATTGCCGACCTGGCCAGCTGGCCTCTGACTCACATGCGGGCATCGCCACCGCCTCACCCTTTTCCCTGCCCCATGGCCGCTTCCGAGGCCCGGAGCCCGGTAAGCCAGGAAGGAGCCACTCCTGCCCAGCAGCCCCACGGCCGCGCTGGGCGCCAAAGGGTCAAGGCAGCCTTCAACAGCGATGGAGGCGGGCTGGGCAGTGCGGGGGAGATTCCCGCATGGTGCAGAGGGCAGCCGGGGCGGAGCACAGCCAGGCAACCAGGAGGCATGGAGACCAGCTCAGCGCTGCAGCTCAGCTCAGCCAGCAGCGGCGGCAGCGGGCACCCCTGTTGATGCAGCAGCGGCCACCGCTGCCACCGTCCCCACCGCCCCCATGCTGCCCGGCCTGGTCCTCCATCCATCAATGGAGCCGCAGTAGGGGCTGGTGCTGCACGGCCCACCAGCCGCTCCGCCAGCCCGCTGCTCCCCCCAGGCACCCCTCATCCACCCAGCTCCCGCCCAAGCCACTTTGGGGGCAGCAGGAGGAAGGAGAGGAGAAGGGCGAGAAAACCGCTGCCGCCGCCCCCGCACTGCCAGGCCTTGCCCTCCGCCCATCCGATGGAGCCGCGGTGGGGGCTGGTGCCCCCTCGTCCAGCCTGGCTGCTTCCCCCAGGCACCCCTGGAGCCCGCCCAAGACGCCTTGGGGGCAGTAGGAGGAAGAAGGGGAGGAGGAAGAGGATGGCAAGGAAGCCGCCGCCAGCGCTGGGCACCAGGTGACAGCTCTCCTCTCCTACCTTTGCTGAATCTCCTTCCTTCCCGGCAGCCTGGACTCCGGTGCGCCTTCCTGGCCAGCAGGTCCAATGGTCAGGCTGGTTAGGGATTGCAGCGGCTGGTCTCCTTTGGGCCGCGGCTTGCAGGAGGGCTGACCTGCTCAGCGGAGCCTCCAGTGGGCCGCTCCCAACAGGGATCCCGGGATTTCCCCGAGCAGCTCCAAGGCCACGAGGCCCTGGCCGCGCTTCTCCCAGGGGCCGGGGCACCTGGGAGCAGGGCCAATCAGGAGCCCTGCAGGAGGTAAGTCCGCCTGAGAGAGAGAGAGAGAGAGAGAGAGAGAGAGAGAGAGAGAGAGAGAGAGAGAGAGAGAGAAGGGAAACGAAAGTGCCTCTCTCTCTCTCTCTGCAAATGGTGGAGGAGGCCGTGCGGAGACGGATGCGGAGCGGTGCCTCGGTTCCTAAGACCATCGGAAATATGTTTTTTCCGATGGTCTTAGGCGACCCCTGTGAAAAGAGTCGCGACCCACAGGTTGAGAACCACTGCAATAGAACAAAATAAAGACAATAGAAACTATAATCTAACTAATCAAAGCCTGTTCTCTAGAGACACTTCCATAAACTTTCTCTTACAGAAAGTTAATGGCTGAGCCCTTCACTCAATCAGAGCTGTACACTATTTGAATTGTTTGACCATTAAACACCTGCCTTTTATTTGAAAATCTCCTACACCTACTCCTTGCTCTGATAGAAAATCTCAATAACTGTCCCCATAGCACAGGGGTGTCAAACTGCCAGCCCACAAGTCGGATGCGTCATGTGGAACCCGCGCCCACCCCTTGCCGGCAATGGCAGAACAATCTCAATACGTTTCGCGACGTCACATGACATCACAACTTTGACATGTCTGCCATAGCACTTAAGATTTTCAGGGCATCAATACAAATGTGTACAATAGTCAGTAAAAAGTAAAGCCCATAGATTTTGGTGGGCTTATTTGCAAGTATGCAAATGTAACAAAATAGGATGAAAAAGTTGGTCCAAGTTTAGTTGTACAAAAACAGTTTCTCCGTTAAGACCTAGACATTAAAATCAGAAGTCAATAGTTCTCCCAATTATACAATGAAGTGATGAGAACCACTGAATTTCCCATAATTAAATATAACTTATCAGTTTTTAAAATACAGCAGCAGAATAATTTGAATAGTGTATTAACTAAGATACAAACTTAAACCTGCTGTATTTTGCAAAACTTCATTTTTCTTGTCAATCCATTTTTGTATTTCCAAAATTATATTTAAAAATCAAGCTAAGCAGCTATTAATCAAAATATCATCCTCACTTTTTCATCACTGATAATTTTGAGTACTTTACATCTGTACCAGCATTTATCTTCAGAAAAGCAACCTCCATATATCTGAGGATTAAAACAGATTTAGGACAATTTATAACTTTCCATGCATTTTTTTAGATCTTGTTTAGAAAGTCATCATGATATCCCAATAAATATAAACAGGAAAGAAATCAAGATTACCAGCAATTTACCAAAGATATATCCCATAGTTTTATACTTTTTCATGCTTAATATCTTATTCTGATATTCTCAGAAGTAGTTTGACGTGCACACAGGTTGTCTGGGTTTATGATTTTTGTAACCAAAATTTCATCCTATTACCACTTGACAAAACATTCATAAAAGTTATACTAGAGATCTGAATTTCCAAGAAAAAGAAAAAAGAAATCTGGGATGAAAAATTTTGTTTCTCCCTTATAACTATGGAGAAAAAAATAATAATTCTCAAATATTGGGGGGAAATCTAGAAGTTACAGGTAACACTGTAAAAATTACCTTTGCTCCTTTTGGAAAAGTTTTTTTTTTAAAAAATCAATTTCATACAAAGAATTCTATGTGAAAGGTTTTATGCACAATAATCCACAGCAACAGAAAATAGTAATTCTTCTGTTAGGCCAATATCCAGGATCCATTATCCGCATGTTTAATCATAAAACAGTTAAGAGCAAACACACTGCTATGAGCAGACAAAGATATGTTGTTTCCATACCATCCTTCTATTTATGATTTCATGAGAGTCAAGCAAATTTCCCAATCTTAAGATGCTACTAAACTAAGCCACAAATCTTTAATACAGGTAGTCCTCGCTTAGCAACTACAACCGGGACTAGCAACTTGGTTGCTAAGTTGCTAAGCAGAAAATCACATGACCACAAGTCTTATGGTTAAGAAAAGCACTGCAGTTGCTAAATAAAAATCACATGACCAATTTTACTTCTGCCTTCTCTAACAACTTTTTGTTGTAAGCCATTTGTAAAACATGCAAACAATGATCATGTGATGATCAGAAACATGACTGATCAGTTATTTATTTTATTATTTTAGTGAACTCTTAACTTCAAACAATTGCTACTTGATGCAGTCGGTAACTGAAGACTACTTGTACATATTGTTTTAATATTTCTACAGAAACTAGAAATACAGTTTTCTTTTTGATAGCCACACATCCATAGTTTGTCAACTGTTTGCAAGCTGTTCTTTTTTTTCCCACCAGCATTAAAATGAATTATTGTATTAAAATACTGTATTGTATTTATTTAAAATATTTATTCAACTTTTCTATCATAAGCAGCTCAAATATAAGAGAAAACAGCATTTCAATTCAATATTTTGAGGCAAATAAAAAGCCAGATCACATGTTTTGTAGAACAAGCCACAATTAACAAACTGGGCTGGGTCATTAAGAAAAATTATGTTATCATTTAGCATGAAATGCAAACCTAGTCAATATTTTCTGTGCATGTACTTTTAAAAGCAGAGGGGAAGACAGGAATATATTGTTCAAAAGCTCATCAATTTACTTCAAATAAAAATCCTTGGTGTACATGTTAAAATATACAAATTCAAGTGATCCCTGCAAGATATTATCTTATGCTTATATAAATAAGAAAATATGGGCATAACCTACCTTATTAAAATCAGGATTGCCAAAAACTGGGATGGCTTGAGGACAGATTTCAGCTAGACCAGAGCTAATCTTTAAAATTTCCTGAGATTTATTAATGTTCTAAACAACACACATTGAAATCCAAATCAATATACGCATTCAAGATTTTTATACCACATAATCAATGACAAATACTAAAGTGATTCAAACATAAAACATTCTATGTGTAGAATTTTATGAATTTATCTTTAAAAAGCTTGATTTTATCAAATTTAAGCATCAAGAATTTTGATTTTTAGATAAACTCCAAGCATGAATTATTTTAATTTCACTTTAATCAACAGTGCTATTCGTATCACCCCATAATTCTGATCTTACCTGTGCCCAAAAGGTTACAGCATCTTCTACGTGACAGCCAACTGCAATTTCGACTGTGGGAGAAAAAATAGTCAAATCATAATTTTACTGTTAAAGAAATAAAACTATATCCTCTTCATATATGTACCTTTATTATATGTTGAGTCCTCCTCCATGATGACAGAACCTAAAATATGGAAGCAATCAGTGGTTAGAATAATAGCCTCTTATTTATTAATAACTTAAGCAGTTTCACTACAGGTAACCCCCAAATTACGACCCTTCACTTAATGCTCGTTCAAAGTTACGTGATCAGAGCCCCCTAGTGCTTATGAGCAATTCCCGAAATTACAACTATCACAGCACCACGGCAGTCATTTGCCCTTACGAGTGACCGCAGAGGCTCTGCAATACAGTATTCACCCTATTCTCTTCCCTACTCCTCACAACTGCTTCCCCCTCCCTTCCTGCCATACTGGAGTCCCTTACCTTGCAAAATCTGTCTCCTCTCTGCTGTGGTTTCTTTCCTTTGAGGGAGAGGAGAAAAGCTTGCAAATGCTTTTCCTGCTGACAATGGAAGCTCCTGGGTGCCGTAATATCATACGATTTCAAACACCCATTCTTTGCAAAAGAGATCATGGCCCTGGAAGCTTCCATTCTCGGGGGGGGGGGCAGAAGTGTTTGCTTCATTTGCACACCTATAGGGCAAAGTGTGGAATCAGAGTGGACCGGGCACAGGAACCAATACTGTTAGTGGCCAAGATGAGCCGTTTGCTTGCGTGTACCAGACTTAGTTTGAGGGCAGGAACAAAACCTTCAAATGAATGGGGAGGCATTGCGGGGCCAGGTCCCTTGTAGCTGCATCCAAGCTGGCAGTGGCAGAAACCACCTGAGTGGCCATGATCCCCCTCCCCAGCCAGCCAGCCACCCACTCTGCCTGACCTAGTCCTTGCCTGGCCGGCTGGCTAGCACAAACCCCACCGCTCTTCTCCTCCTTACTCAAGTGGCAGCAGGAGCTTGGGTTTCTCAACTCAATCTGAGTGGAGGAAAGCAGAGGCACAGCAGCAAGATTGCTCTCACACAATAAGACCCAGGTGCGCTGCTTGCTTGTATGCGTCGACCTTATTGAGAGCAATCCTGCTGCTCTGTGCCCAACACAGTAGGCTACTATAAGTAATCGGCCTGATATCAGCCTGAATGAAGGCCTCTCCAAGATGGCGATCACACCCAGCACCGTATTCAAAATGGCGGCCGCGAGTCTCCTTGCCGCCTAAAATGGCGACTCCTGTGAGACCAATCTCAATTAAGTCTCCACAAGTCCCTTTTTTTGCCTGTTCAGGGAGCCCAAGGGAGCTTAAATTATCCTCTTCTCACCCCCTTAATTTATAAGGCAACCAAGCACTTGCGTTTCTGCTGCGCAGGCAAACTGCAGTCCGATCGTCGCTGGAGCCTCGTGGCCACAGGGCAAGAAGAAGACAACTCGGCCGTTCGGCCCGATCTTCCAGAGCATTCACGGAGAAATCGCTCCTGGACGCTTGGGGAACTCCCATCGTTGTGCCAAACAGTTGATAGGAGCTGAAGCCGCTGTTCCACGGCGGAGCTCCTAACGATCCTCGAGGTCAGGCAGGCTCCCTGGGACCAACGCTCCCAAACTGTCTGAAATCCTGTCCTTTTACAATCACTATCTACAGTAATTAACTAAACACTAAAACTAAATGAAAAATTCTAACTATTTAAATTAAGCTATCTGAGGAGCTACCAAAGTTGTGTCCTACTGAGCTGAGACTAAGACAAAACTGGGAAAGGACCACCCAAGGGAGGCGTGGCTAAAGTTTGGTTTTAGTCTAAACTGAGCAGGAAGGCTTTGATAACCCATCGGTGGATGCTACATCTATCATGCTGGAGAATGGGTGTTTGAACTCGTGCGATATTGCGGCACCCAGGAGCTTCCATTGTCAGCACGAAAAGCATTTGCAAGCTTTTCTCCTCTCCCTCAAAGGAAAGAAACCACAGCAGAAAGGAGACAGATTTTGCAAAGTAAGGGACTCTCGTGCAGCAGGAAGGGAGGAGGAAGCATGAGGTTTCTTAGTGGGTCAGGGAGATCTTGGGGGCATGTTCCATCACTAGGCCCCTTATGGCCTTCCCCACCCTGAGATATTTCATGTTTACTTAACGAGCTGCATGAGTTTTAACAAGGAAGAGAATGATTTCACTAAAGGAACGAGATTCACTCTATGACAGACATGTCAAACACAAGGCACAGGGTCCAGATGCGTCCCGCAAAGTGGTTTCATGTGGCCTGCGAAGCCATCCTGGAAACAGTAAGGAAACGGCCCCTGCTGCCATGGCCCTGGCCAGCCGGAAGCCAATTTTGTGGTGGCCATCTATGCTGAAATGCATTTAGTCTTAGCTCCACAAGGCCTTTTAGAGACAGCAAGGAGCCAGACCCTGCCACATCGACACCCCCCCCCCCGGGTGCATGCTGGGGAGGTGTCACTCTTTGTGAGGAATGAAGAAATGCACTATTGCCTGGAAGTGGCCAGCAAATGGCCCTCGCCTACTTCACATATCTGGCTTGATGGGCTCCGGGGGAGGGGTTTTGGCAGGCAGGGCCCTTTCCTCACAAAGCTTGGTGGCGCGAATCCAAAAAGAAGTGTGAGGCTGCCCAGCTCCCAGCCTGCCCAGTTTCGGCAGGCAGCAGGGCGCTCTCCTCACAGCGCCAAGAGTTGAGCCAGGTCGCGCGAATCTGATGAGAAGTGCAATGTTGCCTAGCTCCCAGCTTGCCCAGTTTCAGCAGGCAGCAAGGTGCAAAGCTGGTGAGCTTCGCACCGCCCAGCTCAAGCTCTCGGCGCTGTGAGGAGAGCGCCCTGCTGTCTGCCAAAACCAGACAGACTGGGCAGCATCGTGCTTCTTTTTGGATTTGTGCCGCCCAGTTCAGCCTCTCGATGTTGTGAGGAGAGTGCCCTGCTGCCTGCCGAAACCAGGCAGGCTGGGGGGGGGCAGCCTCATGCTTGTTTTTGGATTCGCGCCGCCCCGGCTCAGCCTCTCGGGGCTGTGAGGAGAGCACCCCACTGCCTGCCGAGACCAGGCAGGCTGGGGGCTGGGCAGCGTTGCGCTTCTTTTCAGATTTGCACCACCAGGCTCAGCCTCTCTGCACTGTGAGGAGCGCGCCTTGCTGCCTGCCGAAAGCGGGCAGGCTGGGGGCTGAGCAGCATTGTGCAGATAACATCGACTCTCACGTTGCTCAAGGCATCCCTTCCCCCAGAGCCTACCAAGCCAGATATGTGAAGTAGGTGAGGGCCACGTGCTGGCCACTTCCAGGCGATGGTGCATTTCTTCATTCTTCATGAAGGGTGACACCTCTTCAGCTGCATTTCTTGCCTGTTTTTCTCCCTCCCTCATCTCAAATATTTTCTCACCACTCTGTACTTAGGAAGGAAAGAAGGAAAGAAGGAGAGGGAGGGTTTGAGGGAAGTCCTGCCTTAGTCCTGCCCTGCTGCACTTTCACCATCCCTTTGCCCCCTCCTTCTGGCCTATCCTGGGGGATCTCCCATCCTATTGCTAAGAAAGATTTGGATACAAAGCCAGGTCTCCTCCCATGGAGAGGAAATGGGTCTCCCTCTGACTTTGCCCTCGTACCCATCATGATCAACCTGGTTAAGGAGAGCAAGCACAGCAGCAGCAACCTTGAGGAGGAGTTAAGTGCAGCTGGGCATCCCCTTGGGGAAGTGGGGCTGGGCTTTGTGCCACGGGTGCTCGAGGACCAGGCTGGGCATTTGAGCTCTGCTATCCAGGATTCTGGGCAACCCGCACCACCATCCAGCCCCTCCCCCGCATGGCCTGAGAAGAACAGTGGGGCTCCTCCAGTGGATCATGCCTTGGCACTTGCCCTGGTCTCACCCCCACCCCCTTTTGCCAGAGATCCTCAGATCTGTCCCACTCCTGCCCAGGCCCCCATGGCACACTTGACGTGAACAGATGTAGAGCTAGCCACACCCACCCGGCCCCCCCGAGGGCAACCGCAATGCTGATGCAGCCCTCAATGAAATTGAGTTTGACACCCCTGCTCTACAAGTTTTCGATTTACGAGTGGAATGGGCAGGCTCCTTTACACTCGTAACTTGAGGACCACCTATATTACATATACCTTTTCAATGGAAGAAAAAAAAACACAGGAAACAAGGGATCATCTACCTGCCACTTTCTTAGGATAAAATATGTTGCCCCTTCTCAAAATCTATAAGGTTCAGATATCATACTAATACAATGATTGTTAAGTGAATCATACGTTGTTAAGTGAATCTGGCTTTCTACATTTTCTTTCCTCATTGGAAACCAGCTGGGAAAGTCAGAAATGACAATCACATGATCTAGGGACACTGCAGTTATTGTAAATACATGTCAGTTGCCAAGTGCCTGGATTTTGATCATGTGACAGTGGGGATGCTATGATGGTCGTAAGTATAAGTCACGTTTTGTAACTTTAAATGGTCGCTAAATAAACAGTTGTAAGTCAAAGAATATCTGAACACCATGAGGCTAGTTTAATTAAGGCTTAGTAAATCATATGAAACCATTTATTTATTCATACAATGGCAAATTCAGCCTCTTTTGTCTCATTCAAAAAGTCCTGAATAAATAATTCATAGTTTAATATGATATATCATAAGCCATTTCTCTAGCATGTAGCAGTAATACCAAAAGGGTTTCTCTTATGGATGCAACTATCACTTTCTTTTTAAGTTTTAAAACAGTGCTATCTGATTAAAAACTTTTGTTTTTGTAATTAGAGCACCACTGTTTTGTCAGATGTCCCTGCCTTTTATTCGTCACTCCTACACAAATTTCTCCACACAACTCCTTCCCGATTCACCTAGAATACTTAAAATACTTAAAACACTATTATTTCAACTGCAGCCACACCTTAGATTTTATGGAAAAGCGCTATAACCTTGACAAAGTTTTTTCAATCCTTTTAATCAATTCCAATACTAAGGGAAGTTATGTTTGTATAATACACTTCTCATAGTTTACACAATCATAATTCTCTTAATTAACCCAACTCTCTGGGTTCAAATGACCTCTTAAGCTACAAATTAACCACACAACACATTCAGCTAAAATATAGTTATCTGTTTTATGATTTGGTGACTGTGTTCTTGCATAAATTTAATCTGAATACTGAATAAACTGATTTTCCGAGCTAGCAAAGCACAGAGCCATAAATTAAGCAAGCAGACTGAGTTTGCTCTACTCCACAAAAGTCAAAGCAAAGTTAAAGTAAAAAGTTTGATATGCTGTATAAATGGAACTCTGCTTAATATGTTGGCTTAAAAGCAGAAAAAACCAACTTTCTGTTCAGTTACAGCCTTGAATATTTATTCAATAATAATAGATAGCCAACTGCTATCTCATACATGAGAAGAAATCAGAAGAAAATATTTACCCATCAAACTTCATTTATTTATTTAACTTGTATGCCTTGTGAGCTATGAGCTCAATGACTCTGGGTAGCTCATAACAATCACAACAAAAACATTACAATAAAACCAATTAAAAGGAAGAAAAAAAAGATTTAAAATTGCAAGAACAAGGGATCAAATGGAAGAGAAGCAAAAAGTCTTGTTCTCCCTTAGCAAAGATTAGCTGAAGTGCCCAGGTCTTCCCAGGTTTTTTAAACAACAGAGTGAGGATTATCAGGATCTCAAAGCAAATCTTATTTCAAGGGAATGTGCTGCTACAAAGAGCATCCCAGCATTCCAATAGGCATTGTTCAAGGAACCCAAAATGTGCAACACTACCAGATTAGATTGAAGGGCAGATTCTATCAGAGCTCCATGGAGGAACTTGAGCTTCTGGGGGGCAGAAATGAGATATAAATGTAAGGAAGAGTAAATATCTGCAAGGAGAACGGCCCCTAGGTGATGCAGTGCACAGGCTATAGAGATAGGTCTTCTCACTCTTATGTTGCTTATGTCTTATGTCTTCTCACTCTTACGTTGCTTAAAAAGTAAAGTGATTTTACTTCAATCAAACCAAAGTTAATTAAAGGGACCTATACTATTCTGTCCCTCAGATCCAGCTACAAACACCAAAGAAAATGATCAGAGACTCTGATCTGAGATTAAACTATACAACTATAAAAAAGAAAACAATAATTTTACAAGATTTGTAAGATTACCAAGATAAGCAGTTAAAACTGCATCTCTAAGGAAGAATCATGAGTCTGGAAAAAAGCTACAGCCCAGAAGGTCCTATAGATCCCTAAACTTCAGAGCAATTTTTCTCAACAATATCAACAAAGATGAGTGGACTTCATCTCCCAGAATTCCCCAGGCAATATGTTGGCTGGAAAATTTGGGAGTTGAAGTCCACTAATCTTAACATTGAGATGGCCAAGGTTAAGAAACACTGTCATAGCAGGTTATATAAGCTAATGTTCTGAGTAAAAGGCAGCTTCCTAAATTTAGCCTGTATATATTTAATTAGTAGTAGTGGCAGGTGCACTGAAACAGTTTCTAATCCCAAGAATATCCCTGTCTGAAAAGAGGACAGCCTCAGTTGCTAGTTTTGTAAAGCTATGAAAATCAGCTGAAATCTGTTGACATAATTTTATCAGCCTGGGAAATGCTGATTCCCATCTCACCTGCTTCAATGTTATCACAATTCTCCACACCCAAGATCACTCCTACTTTTAGATAATTATTAATAGTTGTAATTATATCATTATTTTAGTTTATAATTTGTTAACACTTGTTTTGAAAAGGAGTTAAAGTGTGTTAGGGTTTTGATTGATAGTATAGTTGGTTAATGTTAGTTAGATTATGTTTGTTTATTTGTTACCCTGTAATCAGCTCTGGGAAGTGGGGGAGGGGGGAAGGGGTGGGAGGGGTTTATATTGTATTAAATTTGTAAAACTTTTAATAAAAAAAAGATCACTCCTACTTAATTGCCACAATTTAGAAACCACCCATAGCCTTCACAGAAGGACTTTGGGAAGTATACAAACAAAATATTAAAACAAAAATTATATATAAAGTTTAAGAGACAAGAATAGTTAAAATTTAACATTAAAGGTATGAGTTAGTGGATTATTGTCATCGTTACAACGCTATAAAGTGATTGATTTATTAGATTTATATCCTGCTTTTCATTCAGGAGCTGAAGGTATTGTTTGCCACAGTATTTTTCCTATTTTCCCAACTGCAACCCTGTGAGGTAAATTGGGCAGAAAGAGATTAGCTTAACCATGTTACCAACTTAACAACTGCAGGGATTCACTTTACAGTTGTGGCAAGAAAGGTCGTCAAATGGGGAAAAACTCAATAACTGTCTCACTTAGCAACAGAAATTTTGGGCTCAATTATGATTGTACATCTAGGACTATCTGTATTAGTATGCTTCTGTGGCTGAAGCTGAAGATCTCCCTGCTCTAATTCAAGATTTCAACCACTATATTACAATTCATCTACAAATTCATCAGTGGATCAGAACTACTTTTAGCCATCCTGCCTTAAAGACTATCCCAACCTACTTCAATTTAAAAGTAACTATCCAAATAATTACCATCTTATTTTTTATGGACACAAGATTCACATAAACCACATTCTCCCTAGCTTTCTAATTCACTAATCTAAACAAAATACAAATTTGGTTGAATGTTGCAAGAACAAATATAGTAATGTTTATTCCAGAACTCTGGATAAGGGTAATTGCAATTCCACTTCAGTTTTACCTCATTTGTAAAGTCACTTAGTATTATATCTCTATCGCCCCAATTGCCTATCTTAATATAATTAACATTAAATTATTAAAACGACAGCTATTCCGAGGTTGTGCTGCAGATATCTTACAGGATGAACCTCTTGGAATTTGGCACTAATACAAATATCTCGAGGACTCTTAGTAAGCCACCTACTTACCCACAGTTGCTTGAACGAAGTTAGCCTAACTGGCTGGTTTTGCAGCACTTAGTAAATCACAAACTCTTACACAGCTGAAGCTCCCGACTTACTAGCCAACTGACCACGTTTTCGTTTTTAATGCGTGATGCAATCTAGCAACACGTTAATAGACTCCACTCTCCATCCAGCAAGACTAGGTGATTCAGACAGCCGGACTCTTCGCGCTTTTTTTTTTTTTTTTTTTTTTTTTTTGGCAAAGGGGCGATTCCGAGGAAGCTCTTAAGGTTTCAGCTTTTTTAGAATTAAATCACCACTTTGCAAGTGAGTGGGAGATGCTTTTTGGATTCTTTTTTGTTTCTTTCCCCTGCGCTCACTCTATCACAAAATCATAGCCAACCGCCTGTTTTAATAATTGGGCCAATTAGGATTTCAAAAGTAATACAAAAACGATCGAACACTCACCCTAACGGGAGAAGGAGGTACTCGCAGCACGCAACCAAAATTGCGCCCTTAACACAATCACGTGTGGTATTAAACCAATCTAAGACTGCGCGGGAATTTAACGGCCAAAGAGTAGTTCTCAGATCTGATTGGGCAGATGTGAGAATGGCTCTTTGGCCTTTGACTCAGAGCGTTCTGTGCCTTTCGGTTTTTTGGGGAAAATCCATTCACCCCATTTGGCTACTGTGTGCTATGATGAGCATGTTCCCTCACCATGGTTGCTGCAGAACACTGTATGTTTCATCTTAGGCAGTGGTCTTCAAACTTGGCTCTTTGATGACTTGTGGACTTCAACTCCCAGGATTCCTTAGCCAGCGTACCTGGCTGAGGAATCCTGGGAGTTGAAGTCCACAAGTCATCAAAGGGCCAAGTTTGAAGACCCCTGATCTTAGGTAACAATTGCCCCATCACCCTTAGACAAAATCTTCCTGGGTAAAACTGCCTCTTTTTCCCCGTATTCATGAAGTATTGTGTATACTTTGTCAGTGATTTTTGGAAAAGTCTTTTTTTCTTTTTAAATTAGCCTTACATAAACAGAGTCCAGTGATCCTTTTTCACTTGGGTTTCTGGCTACTTTTTAATCAGGCAGAAGTAGCAAAGCTAGCTTGCAAGCTTTCAGAATCAAAATGCAAACAATCACCTTAATGCAGCATTGGTGCGATCAAAACTAAGCCAGTTGGAAATAGTTTAAACTGCCAGATCATCATTTTAACCATTGTCTATCCCAGGGGTAGGCAACAGTGGCTCTTTTATGACTTGTGGACTTCAAGTCCCAGAATTCCTGAGCCATCATATAGCTGCTCAGGAATTCTGGGAGTTGAAGTCCACGAGTCATAAAAGAGCCAAGGTTGCCTACCTCTGGTCTATCCACTACACGATGAAGGCCTCTTTTGCATGTTTCCAACTAATACGGATTCTTTTGCCAATTAGGCCATCTTGGATTGACATTTTCTTTTGTTTACTCATGTGACAGCAAAAATTAGATATATGGTTTTTCCAAATAGACCGCTAAAATGTTCATTACAAGCAACCAACTACGGTAGTGAATTATACAACATGATTTCTAAGGTCCTGCAGTATAATTCTGTAACTCCTGAATTTTATCTGCTTATGGGAATGGAATACATATCTCAAAAGACTCAAAAAAAGAAAGTAAATGTGGTAAAGAAGCAGGAGAGTCTACTGATCAGGTGTTGTGGTATAGGTCATCTAGAAACGAAACCTGACCAGTACAGAATACAGTATAACAGAGTTGGAAGGGATCTTGGAGGTCTAGTCCAATCCACTGCTCAGGCAGGAAACCTTACCATTTCAGATAACTGGTTCTCCAATCTCTTCTTAAAAACTTTCAGTGTTAGAGTATTCACTACTAAGTGTAATTGCCAAAACCTGGACAGTGACTTTTATCAGCTTCATTTCTACCTGGTTTCAATATAGCAGACAAGAAGCCTAAATCTGCTGGGCAGAATTGTTTTAAGAACTCCACAGTGAGGGTAAAGATATCTTTTTTTGCAAATTAGCCAATTGAAAGGTAAAGCAAGCAATTTTTATCATCTGGTGAAAGAGGACTAATAGTTATGCCAAAAAAACCCCTCCTATTGTTTGTCATATTCACATATAGCACTGTTCAACAGGAAATTCCTTGAAACACTTCACTTCATCAACATATTGCAACAGATTTTGGGGAGGAGGTAGAGTTGGTACATTCCAACAAAACATCGTTGCGTTGCCATAATTCAACCTTCAGATATCTTTGCCTGTCATAAATCAATCTCCAAACACTTCAACTGTTTTACTCAAATACTGAATGTGCATTTCTCACTTTAAGAGGGCAAAGAACAGAGCTATTTACATTTATTAATGCCATCTGCTATTCACACTATCAGTTTCTGCTCTCTGAATAAGCTTATGGGATAGTCTAAAAAGGCTAGTTAATGAAATATGCATTACCAATTCTTTTACATTTTCTTGTTTCACCATTTCAAAAAGATTGTTAAGAGAAAAAATAGAAATTGTTATAATTTTAAGAACTCCCATCTAGCAACAGAGTCCTCATTAACAAATGCTGAGAAATATTCTGACTCTTGAAATTCTAAGTCCATAAGACAAGTAAAGTACTGTTATTAGAGATTAAGATCCATTTTTAGCTATCATCTATAAGGCTGGTATAATAAGGGATATCCTATTTAAAAAAACATGAGATGTATGTTGTCCAATCAAAACCATCTACTAATATGTCAACCACACTTTTATTGCATTATATTTAGATAAATCAATTGTTCAGGCAGTTCTCGATTTACAAAAGTTCCTTTAGTGACAGAAGTTATAATGGCATTGAAAAAAGTGACTTATGACCATTTTTCACACTTACAATCATTGCAGCATCTCCATGGTCATGTGTTCAAATATAGTCACTTAGCAACTGATTCATTTTTATGACAGTGGCAGTGTCCCAGAATCATGTGATTACTTTTGTAATCTTTTGACAAGCAAAATAAATGAGGAAATCAGATTCACTTAACAACTTTGTTATTAACTAAACAACTGCAGTGCTTCATTAACAACTATGGCAAGAAAGGTCGTAAAATGGGGCAAAATTCACTTAAAAACTGTCTCACTTAGCAACAGAAATTTTGGGCTCAATTGCTATTTATAATAATTATTTTTTTATTTATTATCAATATTTTCAAATCTTGAAATACAGAAAACAAAACCACTCTTTTCATACAATTCAAATCTTTATTAACAATAAAATGTTCTAAAGTAGTTCTCAATGTTCATATAATAGTTTCTGCCATGAAACCTGAAGTTTTTCCATTGCTGATTTTCAAGTTTCCAGAATTAGATGGATAGCATGATTTTGCTTCAATGCCTGAAAAGAAGTATACTCTCATTTTATATATAACAAAATTGGCATAGAAAAATAAACATATTGTATCTAGTCATTGAAGATAGACAGACAAATAGAGACAGAGATGCTGATAAATTGCAGTGAAACACAAATGTATTATTGATTATGTTGAGTCTTTGTTGGCATTGGATGTTTGCCTTTCTGATCTCTTGCCTTTTCTTGTTTCAACTGTAAAGAAAAAAAAATGTATAAAATTACTTGAAACATAAGCTCTGCTTATTTTGTGCAAACTACAGAAAACAACTTGCAGCTAATCCCATTATTGCCACATTTTCTTATCCTAGAAATTTCCTTTGCAGGATGCTAGGTTGCATCTACATCCAAGCATCCATATGAATTGACACAAACCCACAAATTGAAATGTATGAGTTATGCCATTGTTGGAAATCTCATAAGCTGTGATCTAAGATGGAGGTAGAGACATGAATTAGTTGATATGATTATCATGCATAAAACGTAAACCTGTTATAGTAAGATTTATACAACATTTAGCCAATATAAATATTCTTTGTGCAATCACATTATTGAATAGGCCTCTAAAACCTTTATTGCTTTTGAACCTGCACATTTCCCATTACTAAATCCATGCTGGAAACATTTTAAGCAGCTGAAGAGTTTGATCAGTTGATTAAACATAAAAGTAAAAATATGTATTTCCAAAACTATATTTTATCTTCTTTGTTTCTGCAAAATAGAAATATTAAAAAAGTAACTATGGCCTTCCTCCATTTTTCTATTGCTTATAGTTGCTTATTGTGCTATGCTTTGGATTTAATAAAGAAGTGCTTTGGAATGCATGGAAGAATGAATCAGTAGATCAACAATTCAATAAAACACCTTTGTCTGTTTCCAGGACTGTGGGACTACAGGGTAAGTCTCTGTGCAATAGCTGCATAATCCTGCAAACATATATCATTGATTTAATAAGACATAAACAGATATTATAATACACTAAATTCCAAAGCACCTTTTCAAAATAGATGGTATTACTTAAGTGGTACTTATTTTCAATTTATTTAATTACAAATAAGCAGAAACAGAAAACGTACAGATTTAAGATATGATAAAATATAACTATAGCAACAGAAATAGATGGGGAAAAGCCACTGGACTTCAATATAAATTACATAAACACTCTTCATTTTTGCATGTCACAATAGTCCTGATATTTCCAGATTTTCAGATATCACTACAGTTCCCCAACATACTATTTAAAATTATCAACATATTATTATGTGTGCTAGGTGCCATTTGAACAAATTATTTTAAAATGCTTTAAATAATGTATGCTATGGATTTACCCGTGCCTGATACTGTCTTTCAAAATAAGCCATATCATCTTCTTCAGATCTCCTTAAACTGGAAGCTTGCATTGTTGTACTTGTATTTCCTTAAAGACAGTAGTTTTATTAGATTTTAAAATTCATCTAAAATCTGTTTAATCAACTATAAAAATATTTTAAAATCATTACCATCTGTTAACTGGGAGTAGGCCTGCATGGAACTGGATGGACCTTGATATGCTTTTAAAAATGGATTATCCATGTTGGTTACAGGAGCTTCTAAGAATTGAACAGAAGGTGCTCCTTAAAAGTAAAGTAAACAAGCATTAACAAATTAAAATTAAAGCACTACAGCCAATGAGTGAGGTCTAGGTTAAATATTTGTTCGATTAAAATCACCAATGAGACTGAATAGCATTTATGTTAGAATTATGATGGTGTAGTATAAAATGAACAAATGAATAAGATAATAGGATGGATAAAATAGCATAATCAAGATGAATCAACACTCATCAAAAGGGTTGATTTATTTTCTATAGGTCACATCAGAATTAAAAATAATTCATATTGCATGTATTTATCTAAATGTTCTGTCATTGGTTAAATTGTCAACAAGAAAAGCTTGAAAACAGCCACTGTTAGAAAGGTGAATAGCAGATAGGTAGGTAGGTAGATATGATGTAATACATTTTAAAAATATATAGAACACTTCACGAATACATTTCTTAACCTTTAAAGTACCACAAGATTCCAGTTTTGTTGCAAAATGAGCACTGCTACTCATTTGCAAATAACTATGAAACTGATTTTAATAAAACTGGTGATTAAGCTGCTATTAAAGAACAATCATAAATATATTGACAGAAGCAACAATTAAAATGTATTTTAAGATAGCTTTCTTCCATATCTGTAAAAGGGATGAAGTATGAAAAGGATAATAGTTTTTTCTGTGTCAGGACTTACCTGAAATGTACTGATAAGTTACAGATAAAGCTCTGTTTAGAGAGCCATTCCAGCAGGAGAGTCCAACAAATCCAAAGACAGAAAAAGAAGAAAACTCAGGATAGTTAGGATAGCTTCCTTATACAGTATATATTGCCGAATGAAAAAAGAGATTATTCAGATGAGGGTATAAAGTTAGATAAGAAGTCAGAACAAAAGCCATGATGGTGAAAAGGAATTGCTGCTGATTTCCCAGGCTGGCATATCCTACCAGAATGCTTAATCTTTCCTCTCTCTGTCCTAAACTGCTGTTTCAACACAGTAAATTTAACTAACTGGATTACCCAATTAATGATATGATAGTATCATCCTCCTTGTCCTACCCTTCCCTCATCCAGAACTTAAACATGAAATGTAAACAAATAAGTGCTTGCGTGGGGGAAACAACCAACATGAGGAAAAGGAAAACCTATTGTTGCTTATTTTCTATTTTGTGTCTTCTGTACTCTCACCTAGATACCTGAATTGATTTCAAAAATGACCTTGTCCTTTGCTTTCAGCCAAAATCCATTAAAACATGGTTTTATTATTTTATAGCTCAAAAGTTTACTTAAAATACATTTAATTATTTAATTTAAAAAAACAAGCATATTATAATATATAATATTGTATTACTTTCAGGATAGCTATTTAAGACAGCAATTTTAAAATGTAAGTCTGAAAGCTTCTCTACTTTATATTTTTTAAAATATGTATAAGTTTTCAGAGAGAAAAAAGATATGACTGATCTTCATAGGAATAGCAGAACACCACAGAGGTATATTCCAGTAAAGGCCTGTTGCCAACTGTAAATGACACTCCTTAATATACAGAAGATAAATAAACCAGCCTAATCAACGATCATGTTCTATTGTGAAAGATTATTTGCATTAAACACAGATTATAAAGGGTTTGAAAGTCAAGCATTTCTACGTGGAAATTAAGCCTAGACAAGTATTAAAAGCCAGCATGGTGATTCAAAATCAGTGTTCACAGATTTATAAAGCTGAAGGAGGCAACAAGCTAAATTGAGCCCATGAACACAGAATTATAACTTCAAATTAATCAGAAAGAAGAATTTTAAATCTATTAGAATTTCAGGTGATCTTCAAGGTAACTGCATAAGTCAAAATACAACAATCCTCATTTATTTAAAAAAGTGCAAGCATATTTGTACTAAACTTTATGGTACTAAAATAGATTTCATAATCAGACATAATTACTTGAAACAGTACTGATTTTGTTAGACATGCAATTAAATTATTACAATTATATTATTAAACTAGTATTTATTTCTTTTTAGGTCATGTTATTTGTTCAATGCATATTCCACACCTCCACTCCACCCCAGTTTCTTCCAGGATTTCTAAGTAAAACATATAGCACGCCAATGCTAGTCTTCCCCGAAACTTCCTAGGATAAGTTGGCTGAGAAATACAGAGACAATTGGGCATACATTTTTTTTAAAAAAATCATTAATTTCATCCTTACCTATTCCACTATCATCAAGTCTCATGTAGCCTTCTGCTAAGGAACTAAAACCTGTTAGTCCCCCCATTGCAGCATAAGGGACATCTTGCCCAACTGGCTTTCCTTGGGCTAAACGTTCCTCTTTTGTTTCCACTATTGTTTCATGAGAATATGCTGGTTGGCCACATCCACAAGTAAAGCAACTGTGAAACCCTGCACATTTGGAACCTAATGCAAAACATATTTTGAAAAAGTCAGAATTTGTTTGAAGGATTTCCACTCAATGTCAATTTTGCTTGCTGTAGCCTTGGTGAAACAAACAATCGCTACAACTGAAACCTTTTAATATTCATATTACATGAGGAAAAAAGTAATAATTACAAGATAATTATTTCTACATTTGGATTCATAAATATTACTATTCTTTGCTTAGATAATAATTTGAAGGTGGGCTCTAATTTTGCAAGGAGTTGTCTGATAATAGAAACAGTCTTATTGTGTATTCCTGAAAAAGACTACACTGAGAATCTCATATCTGAAAGCAGCACATATTTGAATATTGTGTATTATTATGCAAGGTAACCAGATTTAAAGTATTTATTTATTTAGCCTTTTTGCTTGCCACTTCAATCAAAATTTATACTTGGCAGCTCACATAAAAATATAATATAAAACAAATCCAATTTTAATGAAAAATAAGACAAAAAATAGAGAATAAAAGATGGTGACAACTCAATCAGAGACTTTCCAGAAAACTCAGTCTTCCCAAGTTTATGGAAACCAACAAAGAAAAACTGGCCAAATCTTCCCAGGGAGATTATTCCACAATATTGGGGCTGCAACAGAAAAGCAGCCCCAACTCCTTACCTCAACTCCCTGAACCTCCCAAAAGAATGGAATTTGCAGCAGTTTTTCATGACTAGATCTAATCAGGCAAGCCAAAGCTGGCTGAAGAAATATTTATGCTGAATCTTGAATTAGTTTCCTGATGCAGAATTTGAAATGTATTAGTTATTTCCAAAGCAATGGTACATTGTTATGATACTGAGATAATATTTAAAGAAAGGTATCTGTGGATAGTAGTTAACTCTTAAATATGAATTACTCATTTAATCCATGTACACTTACACATATTGCATAGAAACCCAGTTGCTGGACTATGTTGATCTGCAAAGTGCTTACATCTACAGCGGATGGGCTGAGTGCCAATAAGAGGAACAAAATGATAAGATTTGCATGGGCACCGGCTCACTCTACAAGGTACAGAAATAGGACGTTCTTTTGGAATCACTTCAAAATCTGTTTTGTGTTGTTTATATCTAGGGAAAAAAATAAAATGCAAATATACTGTTTAGTTACTATTATTAGAATATTTAGGAATCCTTTTATTCAAAGAAATTCAATTATTTTATAAAAAGTGCGAGGCCAGTACAATTTGGCAGAATCTTCAGAATCTCAACTTTTATCCCAGATTTGGAGAAAATATGCACCAATCTTTAACTCAGCAGTCCCCAACCTTTCCAGTCCCTAACCTTTGCTGACTGGTGGGCGGAAGAGGGGATGATTCCACATGAGCGGGCACAGGTGCCTACTGTTTGTGCAAGTGGAGCTGTGCGTTCATGCTCTCGCCTGCTGCTTTCGCAGTCTGGTTCCAAACAGGCCATGGCCCATTATTGGAGACCCCTGTTCTAATTGATTCCTAGGATTGCTCAATTTTCTATTTGTAATTCCAAGAAATATTGAGGCTTCCAAAGTAAGAACCTCTGAATGAATCCTTCCCAGCAGAATTATTTGGAATGAACCTTGTCCTGAACTGAACATAATCCAAAATGGATAGTCAAAAACCTTACATTTATTTGACTTAACAGTAAATAACATAGAAAAAAAGACCAAGGTCATAAATTTTGCCCTGTTGAAAAACTCAGACATGTGTGAGTATATGTATGTGTAGACACATACTGTGTTTAATATATTTAATTATATATTAGAAGTGAAGAATGAACAGATTGGCACATTTCCAGGACAAAATGTTTCTAACTTAATAAAAGGAATATGAGCTGTTAAACTTTTACTTTCTCTTGATTTATATTTGTGAATCCAACCAATAGCAGAGTAATATGTACAATATTCTGTGCACAAAAGAATTGTTACGGAGTCTGATAGTACAGACCAGCAGAGTACAGTTATTGGGCCATTACCATTCAGAAAAAGATAAGGCAAAGCCCAATAATAATTATTTTTTTACTTCCCATAATACGATGAGGCAGAAAAAGAAATCTGCCTCCATTTTTTGCATTTTCAACAAATGCAAAACCACTCTTCTGTTTTAAAGATAAAAATAATTTGTGGGAGTATTAGTCTTCCTTTAGTACAGCGGTTCTCAACGTTTGTGTGACGGCGACCCCCATCACACAAACACTATGCGCATGCACGGCACGGCGCCCCCATGCGCGGTGTGCACGCGCGGCGCCCCCATGCACGGCGTGCATGTGCGGTGCTGCCCCCATGCGTGGCTCGCATGCGCGGCGGCGCCCCCGGAGGGGAGAAAATGGCGGATCGCCGCCTTTGGCGACCCCCAAAAAATGGTCGATCGACCCCAAATGGGGTCGCGACCCATAGGTTGAGAACCGCTGCTTTAGTATATTAAATATATGCAATATATATTACTATTAAGACACAAGTTCTCTAATCAACAGCGTTTTTTAACCTAAGATAAATTTCAGTGCATCATCCATTGGCACAGATATAGAATGCCTCACCTGTGGGAACAAAAGCAGAGTGTTTCTGGACCCACGAGTTTACAGTCAATGCCAGTTGGAGATCTCCAGCTCACATACAATCTATTTTGCAACCGAATTGGTAATACTTGTTTCTTATATTGTTCATATTCTTCCGGAGTAAACAGTTTCCCACCATCATCTTCTCCTACAATTCTGCAAAAGTGTTGATTTCTGTAATACTTTACATTACATATTTAATTAAAATTATAACCAACAACTCTTTTAATAATATGCACATAGAACACAGGGACGTCATATCATGAGTGAATGAGAGAGAAAATATGAATATCTGGAAATTCTAAGTCTGAAAGAAAGAAGAGTGAATATCTAAAAACTATTATTATCCTAAATATAATTGCCTGTGGTTGCTTAATATACTTGATTAACTTATCAATAGTGTTCTCAAATGAATTTTAATGATTTGCATAATTATCATAAAATGACAAAGATAGGATGAATTTTTTACTTATATTTGTATGAAAGTCAGAAATTATTTTTTATTTTCCTTTTTCTTTCTCTTTTACTTGTTTCATTCCTTTTTCTTTTATCAAATATTTTTTGTTTCTTTTAACTTGAGAAAATAAAAAATAAGATTATAATATATATATATATTATAATCCCTATCCCTCCACTACTGGTCTTTGGAGGCGTTAGTGACCTTGCATCCCCGCCTCCAAAGACCAGTAGTGGAGGGATAGGGAAGGGCATCCGAAGAAAAGAACATAACGTTATAGACACATCTTGGTTATCAGCTGGCCAATCAGGGCCAGTAACACAGTCTAGGAGCCATGCGCAAACGTTACTTGAACCTACTTAAACCACCTTTATTGCAATGGCCTTTTAGCCCTGACGATGCTGGGGAGTTCCCCCAGTGAAAGCTTGGCAACTTTTTAGTATAAGTATATTTTTAGTAAAGTATTCTTACTTCAACCCTCCCGGTGATCGTGTTTTATTCTTGTATTTATAATTATGCCCGGGAGTCGCATTTTTACCAATATATATATTCGTGCTCCTAGAAGCACGAAGCTGAAAACACCAGCCTGAAGATGACGAATGGGACTTCGTCGAAACGTCGCCAAGACACTTCCAATTTTACACAGGAGAAAACCCGAACAACCAAAGACCTACATACAAATATATATATATATATATATATATATATATATATATATATATATATATATATGCTGGAAAATTTGCATAAAAATACGACTCCTGGGCATGTCTGTGGTACAAATAAAATACGAACACCAGGAGAGTATAAATATAAAAATATACTTTACTAAAAGCTGCCAAGCTTTCGTTTGGAAACTTCCCCCTTTCATTGCAAGCATAAACAATGTTAGTAACATATCACTTTTTCTTAAAATGCAAATGAACAACTGATCTCTTCTTTCCCACATCCCATCCCATCTCTGCGGGAAATGGACAGTTAGGAAACATGAAATATATTGTTGGAATATTCATGAGCAGGAAGAGTCATGTGGTAACTCAGTCAGCCAATGTGAGTAAAGTGCTACTGAGTCTGTGCAAAAAGATATTGAGTTAAGAGCTGGATTTTTTTTATTCAGTCTGAGGTCTGTCTCTGTATCTCTCTGTAAGAAGTCTTCATTTGCTATGTTGCTGTAAAGAAGAATGTATGGTATTGTAAATATTTTGATATGAATATAAAGAGGTTATTTGAATCAGCTAAATGCAGTCAACTGTGAGAGCTTCTGATTTATTTTTACCAACAGAGAAATTAAAATTCTCTAACACATATACATACAGATTCATATATTGTTTCTTATATTATTCATATTCTTAAGCCTGATGTCAGCAAAATTCCATTAAGGACTACAAGGGATAACAGCATATCTATTTTAAGCTTGATCAGATTAATCAATTTTACATTCTTTGCTTTTATTTCAAACAACCTTAATCTTTAGTTTTTTTAAATAATGTTGCTGAACTTGAATTCTTTTCATTTTTTGCTTCTTCTCACAATTTTTTTTCAAAATTTGAACAACCCTTTTGCAAATCCAATATAGGAAAATTATCCAGTTACTCTTGATTTTAATTATTTAATTGTTTAATAATTTTAATTATTAAGACATCAGCAAGTATTTTTATAGAGTATGTCCAATGTAACATCTTTTTTGATGTCATTTGCATAGAAATGCATTTTCAGTCTCAAACTTATCAATTAGAAAACTTGTTTCTCTTCAATAACATCTTTTAGACACATTCTCTCTAGAGAGGCAAACACTTTTAAAATTAACTTCAAAAATGTCCTTCAATATTTTCAATATTAAAATATTTTGCTTCATTCTGTAATTCTAAATTGAGTCAAATGTTATTCTCCTTTAATGTAATTTTTAGTTCCCTCTAGTATGCCATTTTTAAAATCTTATTTTATTATATTTCAAAACAAAAGCATTTTCCCATGGGAAGAATATTTTATAATTCCAAATTATCTGCAGCCTTAGTCAATTCGTAACTTTCTATAATCAAAGTTTTAATTTTGCTTTTTCTGGTTTTTTTTTTTCCCAAAAAAAAAGTTCTTCAATTTTTTAGTTAAAACTTCTTTTCACTAAGGATTGAAGAAAACTGACCAGGTGCTATAAAAACTTGTCAATCCAAAAGTTCCTAATAGCTGAAAAGCACTTGATGAGCAATTTCCAAAAGTGGTTGGAAAAAGGAGTATGCAAACTTAGTGTCCTTTCAAAGTCACAGTATTAGCAAGATAGCTATTTCCTAGTCTCTCAGGGGTCTAGGACTATAAGGTTCCGACCCTTGGCCACGCCTCTTCTGTCTCCCACCTCCTGCCTCCACCCATTTACCGTCAGTGTTCCTCCTTGCTGGCCCTCCCCTGCCCATTCTCTCTGGCCAATGGGCTCCTTGCCAAGGAATTCTTTGTCCCAGGCCTTTGGCTACATGGGACAGATAGCTGCCTGATTGGCTGCATGGAACACTATCTGTTCCATGCAGCCAATCAGGTGGGTGGCAGGCAGAGGTCACAGTGCTGCAGGGCGGCAGCAGGTGATGGGCGATCACAGGGGCTGTGTTGTGGGGCAGCAGGCAAACAGCACTGGCACTTCTCCAAATCTGGGGGAGGAAGGGTGGGTGGGCAGGGAAATGGCAGGGCCAGCGCAGCTTCTCCAATTACGGGGGGAGCACAGGAGACTGGCATTCTGGCCTGACACACAATAGGGAGTTGGCCTGCTGCCCCACACCATGCCCCCTCCCCTGCAATAGCAGAAGCCATGCCAGCGTCATTTATCTGCGCAACCCACCTGTTCCCCCCACAACCACTGAAGCTGTATTGGCCCTGCCATTCACCTGCATCCCCCCCTGCAATCACTAAAGCTGTGTTGGCCCTGCCATTTGCCTGCACTCCCCCCGCAATTGCTGAAGCTGTGCTGGTCCTGCCTGTGCACCCACAATACAGCCCCTGTGATCTACCATCCCACGCTGTCCCCCTGCCAACACCATGGCTTCTGCCTGCCACCCACACAATTGGCTGACCACTATCTGTTCCATGCAGCCAAAGGCCCAGGACAAAGAGTGCCTCAGCAAAAGAGCCAGGCTGAAGGACATGGGGTGGAGAGCAAGGGGCCCATTGGCCAGGGAGAATGGGCAGGGGAGGGCCAGCCGAGGAGGAACACTGGCGGTAAATGGGCAGAGGCAAGGGGCGAGAGGTGAAGGAGGCGTGGTCAAGGGTGGGAGCCTAAAGGTCCCATTCGGGTCTCTCAGAGCTCTAAACCTGCCAGAGAATGTTATCTTGTGTTGAAGAGCACCTGTCAGGAGTACATATGGGTGTTCACAAGTCCTTTCCTTGTCTGGAGAGGAAAAGTCAATCTACACAGCTTTTCACTGTGCAATGATCATCAGCTCCATGTATTCAGTCAGATATTTCTTCCCTTGAAGTCAGGCATATTATTTTCTTACTTCCTAACCGTACAATAAAAGCTAAGAAATAGTAATTACTGGAATGGCTGTCTGGGAAGTGGGGAAGTACATGGTATGCAGCAACAGTGAATGATTCAGCTATAAGCCATAGTTGTATTCACATAAAATTCTAACCAATTGTTTATAACATTAATTCAGACAAACATGCGTACAATGAATCATAAATTAACTACATTGGCTGGATTCTCATAACACAAAGGCCACAATTATATATTTTAGCTTGGCATGTTCTGCAAACTCAGACAAGAAATCTAGAGTAGTAGCATTGAAATAGTGCAATCATTCTACTTGAGTTGCTTTCCAAAATTCAGTGTCAATGTGTATAATTGCAAAATATAAAAAACAAATCAATAAAATTCAGTCAAAGAGACAAAAATAAAAGCATGATGCACCTAATGTACAAAATAAAATTAAAATATATTACAAATAAGCACAAGTATTAACAACATCAACCAATATCACCTTTCATATTTCATATCCCCAATCTTAATATATAGCTTCTATGGCTTTAGCATGGAGTGTATATCTAGTCAATGAATCAAAGCACATACTAAAAAGGAATCAGATGATAACATTCTAAATACATAATGTACAGCAGAACCCACTTTGAATTCATGTTTAAATGTTCATGCATAATGTGAGAAGAGCTCCAGCATGGATTCAGAACATTGGGAATACTGTAGATGCACCTCCTTCCAAAATTCTTAGCCTTTTCAGCAATTTATCATTATGATTGCTGCTGGGCATTATGTAGATTAACTAATTGAAATATTTTCCTTATCAAAATGAAACCATCTTTTTAGATGTTCTATAAAAATGACCACAATAATTTTCTTTTTAATCATCAGGTTGAGGCACCAAATATGTGGTAAATTATTAATCCAGAGTCAGACTGAACTCTGCAAACAGCCAAAAATGTATAATTATCCCAGCTAAATAAGCAGTTATTTTTATTGGAATATCACTCTCCTTATCAGATTGTTCTTGGGAGAGTAGTGTTTGCTAATAAAGATGAATTGTGTATGACGGCGAAAAAATATATCTATATACATGTTTGTAGCAGCCACAAGGAAATTACCAAACTACTTTGGATAGCATCCTAGTGAAGAGCATCACAAGCAAATCAATGCTGGATAACAACCTCAGTTGGATACCAATTGGAACACTGGATAAATGATATAATTCAATTCAAAGAAGTTAACTAAGAAAAAAAACACAATATGTTAAAGCATATGGAAAGCAGCTGAAGAGGCCTTCATCAAATTGATTGTGATGAGTAGTTAAATTGGCACTAGAATCATTCACTCCTTTTCTGCTCCCAATTTACCCACTCACTCTAGTACACCTTAAAGCCTGAGAGGGAGTGTTTTGTGTCTGCCATTTTTTTCCCCTTTTCCTTAGCTGTGCTACTCCCTTTTATTCTATTGGCTTTTGAAAGCCAATAGAATAAACTCTCTTGAATAGAGTCTAATTCTATTGGCTTTCAAAAGCCAATAGGAATTGTCCAGGCTGTCTCTGCCCTGCTGAGCCTGCCAAAAGTCCCATTCTGCAAATGGTGCTACACCAGCTGAGTAGTCCTCGACTTACGACCAGTTGAGCAGTCCTCGACTTACGACCGGGTGGGGGTTGCGGCATTAAAAAGGTTGAGAACCACTGGTTTAGATCAGGGGTTCTCAACCTTGGCAACTTTAAGACTTGTGGACTTCAATTCCCAGAATTCCTCAGCTAGCAACTGGTTTAGATCAAGCAGCTTGACTTAGGATAGGTAACAGTTCTTTGGGGTCTGATTGGAGCAGAAAATGAATCAGAAGTGTTCCAGTTAAGCACCATATGATTTCATATATTAGGTTGTGATGTAATTAGCTACTAAGTGGCTCCAACGCTTGTGCAAACCCAATTCATAATAGCGTGTATATAATGCACTGTTATAGACAAAAATTAGTTTATTCACTGAACCACAGTTTAGATTACTGTTTTGCAGTAACATAGCCAAAATGCTGAAGCCAAAACGCTAGAGTAGAATGGAAATTCCCTATTGGAAAATGGGGCTTAAGTCTAGATCTTTCTCTAAATCTTGGCTGCTAAAGAGCAGCATCTTTAGAAAGGGAAGAAATGTTTTCCATACATGCCCATTTCTTTATATGGCCCAAGACCGCTAGGTCCAAGGAGCTGTCCCATGGTTTTCTGAATCAATTAGGTTGGGTGGAACCGCATACAATAAATCCGTCAATTCCATTTTATCCAATCCCTAAAATTTGTTCCTGGTTCAGGTCAGTAAATGAAGTTTGCCGTGGAGTTTACAGAATAGCCAGGCTACGAGATCTGGCGTACAGAAATCTGAACCGCCACCAGACTACAGCGTGGGTCTTCAAACGTGATCTAAATAAACGTGGGTCTTTTGAGACATGCGCTTATCATTCTCGAGGACTGCAGAAGCCTCTTCCGTACTGAGCGCCTTAGCAACGGCTTTCCCGGTCCCTCCTCGGTGGATAAGAAGCGACCTTTCAATTGGCTTCCTTACCTCTTGTATTCCAAGTAGTCGTCTATGGCGGCGGCAGCCCCTGGTTGAAATGTCAGCTGCTCCATTATTTTGGGAAAAGCCTCCAGGAAGACCTGGAGGCACTCGGCACGGAGCTATGGCCTCGCCGGAGAGGGAGGCGGTTCCTGTCAGGAGCTGCTGCGCCGCGATGTCACTCGGGAGGATTCGCCGTTGCTTTGGCGGCAGCGGTTTCAGAACGTTTTCAGCGTCCGCCTTGGTTTTGAATAATTTTGTTGAAACTGCCGCTCTTCAGTCGCTACGTGAATCATTTCAGCGACAAAATTTCAGTTTTAATCATTTTGCGATAAGGGCAGCTAGTAAAGAAATACTAGCTAGGCCGCCCTCCCTCCTGAAATTGATTTTGCAGAGTTGCGAGAGCCACAAACTTTGCCTGTCTAGCCAGGGTAGTTAATGCTTCAGTGCATCATGTGAACTCAACACCGGAATGGCGATTCACTACCTATATATTATATAAACCGAGCCAGTTTGATGCAGTAGATAAGGCAGCATTTCACACCGTGGGCAGTTTTAAGATGTGTGGACTTCAACTCCCAGAATTCCCCAGAAAGCTTACACTCTGAAAAATTCTATGGTTGAAGTCTACGTCTTTAAGTTACCAAGGCTAAAAAACAATACAAAACACTGACCTACAAACCAGAAGACTGAGTTCTAAGTTTTGCCTTAGCCATGCAAGCTTAGACCAGTCCCTCTCTCAGCCCAGTCCAATCCACCTCACATCATTATATGGAAAGTATACATAGTAAGAAGCAGGAGAATTTGGTATATTCCCTGCCTTGAATTTTAGAGTGAGTGAGTGAGTGAGTGAGTGAGTGAGCGAGCGTGTGTGTGTGTGTGTGTGTGTGTGTGTGTGTGTGTGTGTGTGTTGTTTGGGTGTGTGTCTAAATCACTAAACCAAACTTGCTTTCCTGTTTTATTTACCAGATAGATATTAAAGTAATACTAACAATTGGAAATATGTTGCTTTACAGCAGTGTTTCCCAAACTTGACAATTTTAAGGCATGGGGATTTCAACTCCCAGAATTCCACAGCCAGCAACGCTGGCTGTGGAATTCTGGGAGTTGAAGTCCCCATGCCTTAAAATTGTCAAGTTTGGGAAACACTGCTTTACAGGATTACGCTAAAAAACCTAATTGAAACATTTGAAAAAGTAATTGAATAGATCAATAGGGACTCATAGCATGGACATATATTTTATTTAACCTTTCCAGATGCTACAGTTGTGTGAAGAGAAAATCATTTGAAATTCTACATCTAGAACTCCAATCTTGTTCTTTTTCTAAATATTTTTTAAACCACATAGTGTATCTAAACAAAAATAGTAGAACAATCCTTTTACAAATCATTGTATATAGGTGCAAAATCCAAACTGGTACTTCATTTTATAATTTTTGATGCAGAATTTAGACTGTAGTAGAGCACCTTTACCACAATTCTCCACTATAAGGCTAACATGAATATAAGGCAATGCTGACCTCTGTTCCCATTTACTTTCAAGTTCACTTGAAAAGATCCTGGTTATAAACTGTTATTACTGCACAAGAACTATCTGCAGAATAGTCTGTACCCCTTTAGCATAAATTTTCAGTAAACATCAAAATGCTTCACTTCCCATCTTCAAAGTTCAACCCATTCCTCTTGTTTCTGTTTCACGAGTAACTTAAGATACAGTATGCCCTATGTATCATAGAGTGTAAAATATATTAAATAGGAAAGCAATGAATAAGAAGCTAATAGTATTCAATATCCAATTAATCTGACTCCATCACAGGTTATATCATGTTACTAAATACATGTATTAAATGTTTCTGGAATAGTTATATACATTACTATTTTTTTAATCAACTGCTCTAGTTCTGTAGCAAGATTACACTTTGGCACATTGCTACTTTAAATTTTCTCAAGTGAAACTATTTTTAAAACATTCTTTCTCAACTATTTCACAGTGCAAAAAGAATTCACTCTTTGGACCACCATCTTTAAGATGGAACACACTTCAATTGGAACAAAAATATGCCTACTAATTTTAAAATATTTAACCTATCTATACTTAACAGCACTCACTTTAAAGGTATTCTTTCTTCACTATGGATTAATAAACCAGTTCATAAGATCAAGCTAATTTCCCCACATTTATATTTATTTAGATATTAAACCTATACCTTTTCTATAATTATCATAGAATTCTACACTTGATCTGTATAATACCTACACTTTTTTTTACTCAACCTCTTTAGTTAACATGAGTTAAATTTACTTTCAAAATGAGGCATCTCCATATCCAGCAAAAGGTCAGTCCAAATGCTCAGACCTCGGACTTCAAAGTTCCCATCCTGGGCCTTTAGCTGTCTTAGCCAAGTCTGGATTGCACTGCCTAGAGGCTCTGGCTCCTGGTAAAGGGCACGGACACGTTCCTGCATCTCCTGCCAAGGTATTTCATCTTCTTTTAAACCACTAGTTTGCCATTTCCCATGCAGAGGGTCATAACTGAGGCAGTTTCCCCAGGCTGAGAGGAAAGTCAAATAGGAAGCAAGTAATTCAGAATAATGGGCACAAAGTGAAGCCAAACACCGGGGAGACAAAAAGTGGCAGAAGGACAAGAGACGAGTTGGGTCTCCAAACAGCAACCAAGGGAGGAGCAACACCTTGGCCTCCACTTCCCAACCAGGCTCCATCAATGCTGCAGCCACAACTCTGTACAGCATGGAACCGCAAGGCAAACAGTCCAACAAGGCTGAGGAAGATCGACCTTGGTTCCCATCACCATCTCTGTCACCTTGTAGCTGTGAAAGCAGCAGCTGAGCCTGGACTCTCACTGGCAGCCCTTCCCATTGTTCAACACCAGCTATTCCTTTTACAGGAGGTTCCAAAAGACCAAGAAGTTGAGAGGCAGCTCTGCGTCTTGCCAGTAGACTGATGAAGGGCTCCACTCCACTAGTGGCTGGGATCAAGAAGCTGCAGAAAAGGCTATGGCGGGTAGTAGAAGGCAATGCCGGATTTTCCAGCAGTGCCAAACCCAGAAGCTCTGGGCAGCGCTTCAAGTGACTTAACCTGATTAAACCTCTTTTTTTCAGCTGTTTCTTCAAAACTTCCCGGAGAGTTGGCTGAGCCTGAAGACAGCTATGAAGTTGCCGAAAGAAGTGCCCCCAATTTAGAGCTCGTGTTAGGGTTGTGGGATCCCAACTTTGTACCATTCGTGAGCGGGAGGCTGCCAAAAGGCTAGGCAGCCGCTCAGTTTGTAAGAGCAGCATCTCCATGAGGCAGAGAGCAAAAATCCTTGTTCCTGTCAAATGGCAACCTCAGAAGAAAATGTTTTCTTTTGCTAAGAGATCACTCCTTAGAAATATTATTTGATTTCTCATTGCTCTTAAGATCTGGGTTTCATATAGAAAATTTCTGCTGGTTGATCTGTTGCTATATGTATAGTTTGCAATTCATTCCATCAATTTCTTCATTTTTTTTCTTCCTATTATATTAGTCCTCTTTTTCTTTTGAAGGAATTTTCTGGGTAGTTTGATCTTTGATATAGTGTGTGTGTGTGTGTGTTACCTACTTATCTTCCTACATTAGTTTATTACCAATACACCTTTTTAAAAGTTACAATACAATGTTGCTTTATGAAACAACTTTCTTAACACAAAGGTTTTTAAATAAAGAAATTGGGTCTCTATATATTCATTTTTTTTTCTGCTGCAACTGGATTAGCCAATTGTTTGCTTCTCTCCTGAAGAAGAATTAAATCTAAAGCAGTTCCAGCAATGCAAAATATTTTGACTATTATCTTATATTGTTTGCTGCATTTACTCGTTTGCTTGTAGCTGATGGCATTAAGTTCCCATTTGTAGTATTTGTTGTTGAGCCATTTACAACCATATAATCAACCTTGTTTTCCAGTTTGACCAAGCGTTGCAAGATATCATCTAGAAGAACTGCAATTGTTCTTTTCAGATCCGCTAGAGGAAAAAAATATATATTCAGAAAATGATATTATGCAGAGAAAATCTCATGTGACAAAATAATTATTTTCTCATTGTGTTCCTGGTTATAACTTTTTCTGTATCTGTTTAATATATGGAAAAAATATAGTATATGCAAACTTTTTAAATATATGGTTTATGTACTATTTTTCCATTTTAATTTTTTTCTTTGCTTTTCTTAAACAGATTAAATGCTATATTCTTTAGAGCACATTCTAAGCTTTCATTTGTAACAAAAACACTAAACTGTATAAATTTAGAGTTGTCTAAATAAACGATTTACTTACTTAATATACTTCTGTAAATTTTCATAATAATACAGTGAAACTCATTCTTTATATGTAAACAGTAAAAAAAAATCACATTTGAATTTTTCCCAAATCCTTTATTGTTTCAAAAGTTCTGGAAATTTTATATTTCTAGTATTAGACAAAAACCTATATTATTCAAAGTAAAATGTTTCTAGACATACCATACCCAATGCCAGTATATTAACTCTTTAATATTAAGAGCAGTCTAATATTTCTTAGAAATGAATATTATACAGTATTTTCAGCTTCAGTGGAACATTGAAAATGTAGCAAACATTAATTCTACTTTATAAATATTAAACTTCTTATGCTTTTAAAATAATATTGCTTTATATATTTTGAAAAACTAAACTGAGGATGAATTTACAGAGATTATGTAGGCTTACCATATCCCGCCATTGCAACTCCATTATCACCATTTATTACATTCTTGTTTTCTTCTGCTAGGGCTCTAACATATCTTTTACTTAAGTCAAGAATTTGTTCACGCAATTCAGCACTGCTTTGTTGCCTTGGATGCTGAAAGGTGTAGCGCAGTAACATTATGCCCCAGATAAAACCAAAAACTAGCAACAATAAACTCAATTTCTGGGACACATTTTTTCTAGAAAATGCAAAAACCATTTCTGAGCAGGCTAAATATATCAGTAGAAGGTAGTAAGTGTGAAGTCACAGTATCTTCATGGTAAGTTGTTTTGCAAAACATCTCCACAGCATGCTTGGTCTTCGGGGGAGACTATTTTGTCTAATTTTTCCATTTGTTTCCTGAAATTTTTTATCAAAAAACTTGTGTCAAAATTGTTTATTTTTTTATAAACTACAGTATTAATTTGGAATGTGTTATATAATTTAGAGCATTATGATTGAATCCCTGTAAAATGACTACTGAGAATACAGGCAATTTAAGAACAAAAATCTGGTAATTTTCCAAACTATACTTGTATATGATAACAATATAATCATGAATTGGAAATCCATGGTACAAATATCCATTCAGCTATGAACTATTGGTGCCTTCGTGTAAGTTTTAATGTCTCTACTTCAGTTTTACACCTGCACTATGAAAACAAGGCCATTATTATCTAAAAAGATTGCTACAAAAATAGT